TAGAGATCGTTTACAAACTATTTTAATAATTAAAAAGAAAAAAATGTCATTTCTAAATTTTTTTAGTGAGAATTTTTTCTTGTTGTCAAATTCTTTTCTTTATCTGTCATTTGATGCTGAGTGATGTGATCAAGGCCTCTCTATATAGATTTAAATCAATATCGTTCAATGATTTTTTCACCATTGGCCTCTTTGAAAAATATAAACATTTAGCCATGGTGTATGATGCATAGGACAAAATATTTAGTTCATTTTCGACAGCCAAACTGATCAAACCATACCAAGTAAGTAGTGACTTTTGCTTCATTCAAGTATAAAAAGTATGTTTTTTTTTTAATTTTTTATGCATTAATATGATTATTTATTGAGTGTAATTGTGAATTTCATGAATTGTTAAATGATAATTTATCGAGTAAGAGAATTTTTCTTTTTTAAGTTTGAAAACAATCTATCATAATCGTTATTACTTTTTAGAAAAAGATGTGCACTTTTATTTTTCCGGAGGCCTGGTTCGATCTACCGATCACCCTCCTAGAAATTATTATTCTAATAACTCTTGAAGATCATTGGGAAGAGACGGCAGGGATAGAAGGCGCTACCCTTACACTTTGTGGCGTAACGGCTACCTGCCTAACGTTCCCCGGTAACGTCATATGGTTCCGGATAGAAGGAGACATCTCCGTCGTGCCACCACCTCTAAGCCAGGAAATCATCACTGTCGAAGACAGTAATAGTGAGGTAGAAGTTCTACCTCCTCCTCCAGCGACTGTGTCATCGGAGGATAGTGAGGTAGAATTTCTACCTCCTTCACCTCCAACAATTGATGACGATGATAATTATGATAATGATGATTCCACTGACTATGATGATGGTTATGATACTGTAGGTCTTGTTTTATGATTAGTTTTTCTAGTTTTACTTATATGAAAAAAGTTATTAAAGGAAATAATTTTGATTACAACAGGTAGATTAATGCTACTTGGGAACCATCATTCGAGGGATCATTATTTTTTTACTCTAAAACCTTTTCCCAATCATCTAACATCCTTGAGACACATCACCGCCATTTTTTTTTCTACGGTTATTTTTTTGCTGATAATTATAATATTATCGCTGAAGATAATTTATCACCAATCAGCATCGGTAAAAAGAAATCGCTGCCGATAATTTATCAGTGTCGATAACTTATCACGGTCGGTAACTTATCGTCAAAGTTATCGCGGTCGGTAATTGGTGCGGATCAGAACCCACTTTTTTGACTTGGCCGGTATTGCAGAGTGATCCAGAACCGGCTCTGCTTATCTACTACGGATATAACAACTGTAACGTTATGCCAATGAAATTATAAAATGTATACCAAAAAAATACCATCAAAAGTATTACATTGCATAAAAGTAACTACTGTTATATTACTTTGTTACGCTCACGTTATATAGCAGTTATACTACATATACATAACTAACATTGACACAACATGTTATGTGTATGTGATATAACAGTAAAGTTCGGTGTTTACTGGGATGCAACATGCAAATTTGATAGAGTTTGCCATAATGTATGTTTTTTTTAATCTTAAAAAGTAAAGACAATTAATCAATGCAAAATTGGTTTACATGTTTGGCAAGAATGTAGCTTTCGATAAAAAAAAACGCTGAAAAGTTTATTTGTTGATGAACTACGATTAATTGTTTAAAGAATATTGGTACTTTCGACATAAACAATTGAATATCTCGAGAACCATTAGTCGCGGAGAGTTGAGACTCGTCTCATTGTTTTTCTTGTAAAAATCTCAAAAAATGATACGCATCATGTCTCGATCTCCGATGCGCTTTTTTCAAGATTTTTAACATGAAACAAGCTATTTTTTTATAAACAAAAAAGCACATTTTGCCTTGTGTTTATGGTCTGCCGATGATTGGCCTAAAGTCAGATTTTTGACTGGCCCATCATCAAAGAATAATCGGGTAGCCATGATAAATGATAAATTATATTTGAAGTTATGAAAGCTCGGCAACCAGACATTAACCATTGATAAACCAATTCCGGCCAGCTAATCATTAGCCAATTAGAATTTTTTTTCATTCTTTGCAGTAAAAATTGACAAATAATTATTATCTTTATTTAATTTTTTTTCTTTATTGTTATATTTTGTTAAGGAAATTGTGGGAATTTTCCCTATCACAACACTCTGGTTTTCCATTTATGGTTTATAGATATTCCAGCAGCTGAGCTCAAGTTTGTATAGTTCGTTGTTCCCAGGTCCAATCCTAAATGACTGCCCTATTTATTTTTCTACATTATTACGAGTTACAACTCACAAATGACGACACAAAACATCTCTCACCATAAAAATTAATCGAAGTACTGACGTCTGTCGAAAAGTTACTTCTAGTTTTTTTTTTAAATTTGAATTGATAAACAATTTCTGTAATTCATTATGTCTAAAGACTATTATAGAGTGAAAAAATGTCGGTTTTTTAAAAAACACAGTGTTGAAAGTAGTGTAAGTGTAAGTCTGGAAAATAGTTTAGATAGTACAACAGTTCGAAGTGATGATACTAATGACATTAATCCTGTAAATAATATTAATAATGATGTAAATAGTGATGATAGTTCAAATGCTGTATATTATGTAAATAGTAAAAATAGTATAAATTTAAACAGAAATAATGGTTTAATTGATCGTGAAAATGAACCAAGTAATACGTCTTCAATTGAGAGAGAAATTAACAGAAGTGCTAATATCAATGCCAACGATGAAAATATTTCCTTTGAAGATAATGATAATTTGAACCTACTGTTCGAAGACAAAATTCGACAATGGACTTCAAAAAATTTAGATACTCTTCGATTAAAAGTAGTGTCTGAGTTGTTGGTAATATTAAGAGAAGCGGGGTATTCATCGTTACCAAAGACTGCCGAAGCACTGCTCAATACTAACCACAAACGTATCCTTGAAGTAATGACAAGCAATAAAGAGACCAATGGTGGGTATATTTATCTAGGTATTGACAATGTACTAAAAAATATTGTAAAATAAGACCTAATAACAACTTCGGCAAATTAATAAATAAAGAAAAATGTTTATCAAAGATTAATAGCAATTAATAAGAAAGAAAGAATCCGTGCGGTCAACTCAAGTCTCAGTCAAAAACTGGAGATAAACAAACTCTCCCCTCGTTGCTATAAACAATCTAATCTTCAAGCAATCGTCGTTAACTAACAAACTGTGGTTAGTCTAATAGTCATTAGATGGCGACATACAAATATTTTACAATATTATTTCACCGAGTATTTTTATAGAGGAAACAATTTCTGTACTTATCCACATAATACTTTACAAATGCAACTTTGGCCAATCAGAGTCATTGGCCATACACCATGATAATTATATTACTCAACCATTTGCAGTTGCTCTTTATTGTGGAGATTCGAAACCGCTAAATAGTCGAGATTTTTTGAATGATTTTATTAACGAAGCAAAACAATTAATTGAAGATGGTATTACTTTGCATATGAAAAAATATAATTTTGAGATAATTGCATTCATAGCAGATGAACCAGCACGATCTTCTATTTAATGTTGCAAGCCACCAGGAAGCTTTTACGCGTGTAAAAGGGTATAACGAAAGGTCAATCAGTGAGTTGCGGACGAAGCAATCGTTTTGACCTACTACCTATTTCTGATCCAATTAAATCCGTTGTCTTAGATTCGATGCATGTTTTATATTTAAGTGTAGGGAAAACTTTTGTGAAATTTTGGTTAAAACAAAAAAGCAGTGCACGTCTAAAAAAGGCACAAATTATTGAGCTTCGACTAGCCTTACTCTTCATAACTCCATATGTACCGTGTGAATTCCAAAGAAAACAATTCAACATCAATATCATTACAAGAAGAAAAGCAACACAATATCGATTTTTTTATTGTATTGTGGTGCTATATTTTTAAAAGATCTATTGTCTAAAGAGCGATATAAACATATTTGCCTGTTGATAACATCATGTCGTCTTTTACATAGTAAAGATCAGACGATTAGTCATAATAATTATGCAAAAGGATTGTTGAGAATATTTTCCCTTCTATTATTATCCTTGTATGATGAAAAAGCACAGGTCTTGAGCATGCACGACTTGATTCACATTTCCAATGATGTCATTAATTTAGAATTACCATTGAGCACAATTTCAGCATTCTGGGGTGCAAACTTTATTGGAACATGTAAAAAACTTGTTGCATCACCATACAAGCCATTGGCCCAAATTGCAAATAGATTATTTGAACTGGAGAGTAGTGATAAGTGTAAAATAAGAGTAAAATGAACAATAAATGAATGTATCATTACAAATACCATGCCTGTAAATTACGGGGGAACGGAATATGTAAACATCTCATCTTTCAGCATCAATAATTGTACTATTAAATGTACTCATCCTGATAATGGCGTTAAAATGACAACCGGTGAAATATTTATTGTTGATAAAATTTTATTAGTGAAAAAAGAACAAAAAAAGCTTGTAATATAAACGATATTTATATCATCGGACGACAGTTGCTCAATGTTAAAGAAATATTTAATTAGCCTACACCGTCTACAGATATTGGAATGTGTACAGAAGAGAAATTTTCTGAATGTACAGAAAGACGAGAAGCAAATGACATTAAAAATAAGTGTGCAGTGATTATTTCTAAAAATTTAATTCATGTGATTTCATTACTTCATCAGTAATATATTATAAATGTTTGATTATATTTGAAAGAATGAAAATTTTCCCTGCAAATAAAACATGTAATATTTTTGACGAATATTTTTTATCGTTTAAATGTGCTAGTGTATTTTATTTTGAGTGTTATTGTTTTGATTCGTAGAACTGAATATATCTTAAATTTGTGATCTGTAGTATCTTGTGTGTGTGTGTGTGTGTTTTTGTGTATACTTCGCATCCACAACAGTTGAATACGACACGATATTTCTTGATCGTTACAAATATCAGTCAAGTGAGCTCTTAGTATCGATGTGATTAGTGTAGAGACTGCAACATCGAGATTTTTTAGTGATTTTTTTGTATCTTCAATTCACATTAATGGTAAGTACATCAATTTTAATTGTAATCAACCACAGTATGTGTTTTTGTACTGTGAATTAAGTATGTTGGCAGCTTAAAAAATACTTTAGAAAAAAACAAAGTATTTTTTTTTTCGTGAAGCGAGATATAAATTTTACAATTTTTTTTAATACGATTAGAGAAAGTTTAACGTATAGACTATGTTTGATTTTCAAATCATTTAAATATTTATTCAGATGAGTGATGAAGAAAATCGTCCACTTTATGCTGTCGTACTATTTCTGCCAAGAAAAGTAGATGAACTGAACGACATCGACCTAGTGCCATATTCATGGATTTCAACAAAAAAACATTTATATTGTTGGTATCCAGAACCTGATGAATATGATGAGATTAATGGGTGGCTCGAATCTTTACGAAAACCAAAGAAATCATGGACTCAATTTCCTATCGAAATTGTGTGCATAGCACGTAAGTTCAGATGTTTTTTTTTATTTAACTATGTTAAAAATTTTTAATCAAAGTTTTTTCTGACCTTTTCATTTCTTCTTACTTTTTTTGGTTTTATTTCAAAATAGCACGTATAAATAACTCATTTTATATCTTTCACTGATCATTAAAACAACAACAGATAATTTGGAACAAGGGAAACGCCGAGCAGAGCGACCCAAGAAAACTGCAAAAGTTGAGAGTACTGACTGTGACAACCCTGATAAAGCGACGGAGAATATTGTGCAGATATTCCGTGGAAAGTCATTGAAAAAACAATTAGACGACGTTCAGCCTACGTCAAAAAGATCTTCTCATATAAAACCACCAGAAAAATCGATTCAAAAATGTGTACAGCCTCAGGACTCGATTCGGACGCGTGATTCAATTAGCTTAAAGGATGCACTCCCTTGTAAGTTGGTTGTATTATTGTATGAGATACAAGAAAAGTTATAGACTCTGAAATAAGATATAAAAATTGTTACATGTTTCAGCAGAAGATAACGTTTTTGAAATTTTTTCATGTTACAGTATCTAACATAGAAATGATCAGAAATGAATTAAAGCAGCATAGTGAGATAATAAACGAAAAACTGGATGTAATGAAGGCCAGTATCAGCTACGATTTAGAAAAAAAGTTTGAAGATTTAAAAAAATACCTTATTGCACATCAATCAGGAAGTGCACCACCAGTTACTAATTTGTCAACTGCAAGTGAAGGGTTCAAAAGCATATTGCCAGCGGACGACCTTGAAAGCTTTGAAAGTTTTGAAAATTCTCTGACTAAAACTGCAGCAAAAGATAAATTAAAAAATTATTATCAAGTTTTGAGTTTCGGAGAGACTGATCTGACAAAATGCATCAGTAAAATGATGTCTGCAACAATTACAAAAAGTATCCAGCTGCTATACTCAGGATCAGGAGAATCAATTCATGGTTCAGCAAAGAAGAGCTTCAGCAATACTTTAGCTTCAACTAATACTTTTACCTGTTTGCAAGGTATCTAATGTTTTCATACAAATTTTTTGTAAGTTTCTTTCTGGAATATAGATAACATTTAAAAATTTCTTTTTACAGATATAATTTTCGAGAAGTTTAGTAATTCTCAGGAGAGTAAAAGTATACCGGGCAAAGCGGAAAAATGGCTTGCTGGAGCAAAGGATAGATATGGTGGACGATAAGAGCATAGTGGTGCCAATAAAAAATAATGAATACATTAATTATTATGTTGATCTTCCTTTGTATGATTATTTACACTTAATGAATTAATATAATTCTCAATAAATAAAAGCACATAAAAATTTATGTTAGAAAATGTTACTCCTATTGGACAAACCCCCAGCCCGAGCAAATATATATAAAATTTTATTGCCTGGGTTTTTTCTTAATCCTCGCTCATCCTAGGACATCACGGCACACTGCCAACTGCGAGAAATCCTTTTAACATAAGGCGCGCACATGAAAATTATTCAGTTTTTTTTCCCAAACTGTTTTTATTACTACTATTCCCTTTTTTATGTCACCCCCTTCCACAATCCTATCAACAAATCAAAATTGTTGATAAACTAAGACCTACTTTTGCTGATCATCGTCCTAGCGTCCTGTGACGCAGTCTGGCAGTCTTATGTTGACACCAAGTAGAGCACACATCAATTTGAAGTCAGTGAGTTCCTCTGTTCTTTCCTGATCATACCAATAGTGCTATCATTGACTTATCTCAGGCCATCTCTTGAAGTCAACATCCTTGTTGGCTTGCTGGGATCCAATCTGTCAACAGTCTCATCTACTTGAACCAGCAAGTTATCATATTCATCCATGTAAGTTGATCACCCACTCATCCTAGTATTTACTTCGTTAATCCTCTCTCATTTACCGATCTTCATACTCTTTATCTCGTTCAACTTATCTGTATAATAACCAATGTAATTTAAATAAATAAACAAAACGGGAAAAGTTCATTATGAATTCAATCGGGTTTAACTTTAATTGTATTCAAAAAAAGGTTCCCCATTGATCCATCCCCTTTAAATCCTTAACAATTTATAATGAAAAAATTTTAGCTGATCCATTCCCCATTCATTGTCCAGTATTAGGCCATTTATTGCCCATATAAGCCAGTGCAAAGAATATATAAAAATTTAATAACTAGCCAGCAATGGCCCAATTGCTCTTTAGATAATCGGCCAATTATCATATTTAATCATTGAGCCAGCATTATCATCCACATTTAAACCAATTATGAGCCCTGTGTGATTGCCAACAGATGGCCAGTTGTTTTTAATAGGCATCAATTGATGGCCCAATTTTGGGCCAGTTTAGAAATTCTGTATGGGTTGTTCCTATAATGTAATCTTTTAGTTTCTCACACTTTCGATATGACTCTGTAGTATAGCGAAAACTATTAACAATTATTCTTTTAAATACTGTACATAGTCCATCGCGATTTACTAAAGCTTTCTCTCCAACATCAAGTTCATCATCTTTTCCCTTACCAGTCAATATAACATCTTCAATTTTCAGAAAATTTTTCAACTTTCTAGATAGTGTTCGCTTACAGAATAATTCAAAATTTTTACTTTCATTAGATATTGCTGTTAACGACATGAGCGATTTCTTAAAAAAATATTTTTTAGTAATCTGTGGCATGACTTGTGCTGGACTCTTTCTGAATTCTAAAAGCATTCGGTTTTCGTTCTCGAAACAAAATGCATTATGCGTATATAATAGACCCCAATTGGTAACACTATTATATAAATGAAGTAAAAGATGGACGTTATCAGTCATTGATGATATATGAAAATATATCTGATATTGACCAACACATTTTACTAGTAATTCATCTGTAGTATCAATCATATCATGAGACAAGTTTTCGGATAATAATAAATTTATGGGCTGTTACGCCGTGGATAGGATTCAGGATTTCAGTCAATTTTTACGCACACAAATTTATTGTCACTCTCAAAACTTTATTACACTAGATGTTTAACATTAGAGATTATTATCGTTCACGATAATATATTGTTTTAATCACTTCTATTTTGTGATCGAATATTCTTAACTTTTTAACAATTTTGTAATTCTTATCTTTTATAATGAATCGAGAAAACTCTCTAAATTCTTGGTTCTACTTCTGTGAAGGTTTTCTAAGACTAACTGAAAATGATTAAAATACAAAAGTAGTTCTTCACAAAAAGATTACGATGCTTGAGAAAAATAAGTAAGAGAGTTGCACTAAGTCTTGAGACAGAAGAGTAAGAATATTTATGTCAGCGTAATTTTGATATATCAATGGTATGAGATAGCTATGGCTTAACAGGACGAAACAAGTAAGGTTAAATGATGCAAAGATTTTTTACTTAAAATACCCTCCGAACAAAGTAATGAATAAAATAGTAACCATGATCGCCACTCCGAAGCTTTCCATTTTTTTCTCTCTTCTATTTTTCTTTGTGCTCGAATGATACAGGACAGATATTTAATTGATAAGAGACGTCGATTAACTCGTTGTACATTTGTTGGATCTCCAATATAATAATCCGCTTTGACGGAAAATAATATGTCTGTATGCTGTTCAATAACTCCAAAAAAAACCGCATGCATATAGTCAGGAATCATCCCATGAACTAGATCAAAATATTGCAGATTCATTAAAGTTAAAGGTCCTTTTACACCATCTATATCTTCTTTTGATCGATTCTCTTTTGTCATATCTATCATTGCATGTATTATGGACTCACTATCACGATCTTCAGGTACTTCAGGTATTGTAGAAATTTGATTACACCGTTGGCTTATTCACCAAGATACTTGCAAAATGTACATAATTTTTTTCGAATAAGTTCGAAGTTTTGTAGTCAATTTCAGTTAGTCGGAAATAGGGTTAGTAGTGGTAGGTAATAAAACGTTTCGATTTTTGTAGTCGGAAATAGGTCTACCTGACATTCTTGTGGACTGTACTTTATAACTTTTTCAAATATATTCCTAATATATAGAGAATAAGAAAAGTTTTTCTTTCAATTTTATCAACATTTCAGTTCGTGTATTAATTTTTAACTTCTTAGTGCGTTCGGAATTTTATTTTGCCTCGATTATCTCAAGATCCAAAGATGATATTGACATAGTACTGGCATTAGACGAGTAATCACATAACTCAGAACTGATTAAACTTCAAGCAAAATCGATTCAGCCGTTTTGGGTTAGATGAAAAAACCAAACAAAGGCAAACTAGCTGAATTTTAAAACTGATGGAATGTTATATTTTTCCCACCAATTCCCACTGAGAAGTAAGTCATGTGATCATTACGGGTCGCACCTACACCACTTTTTAAAATTTCTTTTTATCCAAAAATCTTATTAAATTATAGAAATTAAATAAAGACATTTCAGTGGCCGGATATAGGACACTTTCGTACGCATAAAATATAGAAATTTAGACAGAGCTCAGTGGATTATTGGGAACTTTTATAGACGTAAAAAAATACTTACTTTAGAAAGGTGTCAAGAGTGTTCGATTATTGATTATATACTTTATATTAATTGTATTCATTATTTAGTGATCTTCACAATTAAAAAATATATCTCTTTTTTCGGGTATTGTGCTCTATGAATATACCTGTCTCTTTGACTACCAGTGGAGGCTTCTAACCGCAGAAGTGTTACAATCTGAAATTTTTTTTTGTATTAATTTGTAATAAAAGAAGGGTAATAAGATTGTATGAGATACGTAAACTAGAAAAAAAGTGTAATGTCCATAAAAACCAGGAAAGGAATCATACCCCGTAAATTATGATGAGAGCTAGAGAAAGGGAAAGTGCCTGACGGATGGAGGCTCCTTAAAGAAATAAAGAGTATGCATGAGGGGGGAACAAACATGCGTGAAAAAGCGGGGCTAAAATAATCATCCTAAACTGTGGTTCTACCACAAAGGCTTAGACAGAGAAACAATAGTTACTATTAATTGATGCCGAGCCAATCACTTTAACTTAGCGAAATCTCTCGAACGCATAGGCTTCGTAGACAACACTACTGCAAGTGTGGGAAGAGCGTGAAGAGCCTAGACCATATCTTGTGACAGTGAGGAATTTATGTTAATGAACGCAGCATTCTTCTCAGCAAATTAGAAAAAAAAATAGGTCCGAGCACACTTTGTTTGTGCTAACACGACGAACTTCCCATTAGTAATTGTTTATAACAAATTTAAATAGTCATAATCAATGATTGTTAAAAACATCCAAGTCTATGTGATATTTAATCATTAAATAAAATTTTTAATTGTTTATAACAAATTCATATTGTTATAAACAATGCGTAATTGTTAAGAGTCATATTTGGTTGTAAACAATAATGTCTAGTCAATATCGACTTTATTTTCAAATGAAATTGTTATTGTTTGGCTTAAAAGTATTTTAAATAGCTTATCTTTTCATTTTGTTATTATTTATTTTGTTATAAAAAAAACGGCTTCATCGAATTCGTTCAAATTTTTTTCAGATCTTCTTTATAATAATATCTTTCGAATTAATTTTGGTTGAAGTCGATATCTCAATTCGTTCTTGAGATATCGAAAACGAGAAAATGCTGACGTCCGTACATACATGTAACTCGTTACAATTTTTTAGCAGCAAGTCAAATCATAGTAATGAGGCGGAATTATACATTCTTACAATATATACGAAAAGACTGGATTTGTATATTTACGAGCGATGCTACCGGTAAGAGTTAGTATGTGTCATGCAGAATTTGTTTATTGATGTTTTTTTGAAAATGTATTTAATAAAAATTTGAAATACCTACTTATAATTTTTTATAAAGCACAATAAAATTAGCGCGGGCAAATTTAATATAAGAAATATTGTAGTTAAGAATCGAGTCAAACAAATTTATCGGGCTCTTAATGTCGATCATCGATATCAACTATTCCTTTTTTTGTACTGATATTGAAAGAACTTTTAAATTTCTTTGGGATAAGGGAACTTTGTGAAAACAATCAAGTCTTTTTCAAAAACTTCCTCTCTAAAGGTTTCACTTATCAGTGGAAATATTACTGGCTTCTTCAGTGACTATTTATAAAATTAGGTAATTAACAATAATATTCATTTTGATTGAAAAATATCAGTGCTCTGCAGTGGTCTGGGTGCGACCCGAAAGGTCCACACGACCAACTTTCTAGTGGAAAAAATGAAAAACCACCTCGAATAGAACCCGTTTCCATTCTTCATAATAAATGAGTGTGTTTTTATTCATTTGATATGGTTAGTTACTTCATTTGAGTAAAAGAAAAAATTGTGCGTTAGAAGAATTCAAATATACCTCATAGATCCTTTTTTTCATTATTTACAACAAATTTCATTGTTATACACGAAAAAAGTATGTTTTCATTTATTTGATACGGTTGGTAATATTTTTTTAGTAAAAGAAAAAATTATGCGTTAAAAGTACTCATATATATATAGAATGGGTCCCTATTTTTATTGTTTATAACGATTTAAAATTTTTTATTTAATTATTACCATGATCAATAATCATTTGTTAGTAACAATGTTCAATTGTTATGGACACAATTCCATATTATTAACAATTATTATTGACTATCATAGCATCTTTAATGCTGTTTTCTCAATCCTGACACGAGTTCAAAATTCTTTCATTGCTGATTTCGGTTTTTAAAGTTTTTTGTCGATGAAATATTGTCATCATATTTTCATACAAGTATTCTAATCATTTAATATTTGTATTTTTTAAAAGATTTTTAAACTGTGTCTAAAAAATAGTATAATTTATAAATTGCAAAATTCAGGTCGTTTTCCATTTTTCCTAGTTTTTGGTTCTGCAAAAAAATGGCGGACCAATTTTATTGAAAATCTGATCATTTCTAAGTTACGTAATTACGCGTTGAATCAAATCGGTTCCACGTCAATATCAAGGTTTCAACTTCAACTGATTTGCTTTAACGAATAAAGGAAATGCACTACGATTAGTAATATTTACAAACGGAGATAATACTGCTGAGGCGTTTATTGTTGCTGATAAAGATATTATAGTGTCTATTTCTGATCCAGAAACCTGTACATCAATCAGTAGACTACTATGCATGCCACAGAGAATTTTCTTCGGCTTATCAGGGTATATTTGAGTATTAAACCCATAAGGTGTTTGATGCTTTATTGAAAACTAATTGAAGAGTTGCAAAATATAAACGAAAGGTTGACAAATGCTTGAATAAATTGAAATAAATTTTTGTTGACTTCAGACAGTGGTTTTCTCATTATTCTACCTCTATTAGTTTTTTCTTCATTGGTTTGCTAAAAATATTTGCACGTAAATGTGGAATTAGTTATCAACGGATTTCTAAAAATTGCCATTTTAATAGTCTATACGTTGCATCAATATTCCGATAAATATATTAATCTATTTAGTTGATAAGCATTCGATTATTACGTCAAAATCGGTAACGTAACCATCATCTTTGTCAAGGAAAACATCGTTTCCATTATTTAAACAATTAGTATCTGCTTCCATTGATTCATTTCCAATTACTTTCTCTTCTAATACCATATAATCATCCTCAACTTCTACCCTTTGTTTACTAGTTCCTGCTTTTTCTAATCGCATTAATTCATCATCTCCTTCTGATGTTGTTAAATTATTTTTTTTTGTCGTTTCTATGCATACTTTATGATGAAAACGTTCGAAATCATTTCTTTCTTTACTTCTGTTTTTTTGCGTATTCACGCGAGCGTTTCCTATATCCTTTATGCTAAGCTACTATTCTTCTTGATGGTTCTTTTTCACTATGGCTTTCATTTTTTTTTTCTTTCCTAAACAAATTAAAATTTTAATTCAACGATTATCAATTACATCGTCTGAAAAGTTACTTTTCAAAAGACATTCATTTCATTTCTAGTCTTTATTTTATTTATTTTTTTTTAGGTCGGAAACACTGTGATCTTTATTTATTTATTAAAATGCAGCTGAAATCTATACGCAACTTAAAACACTATTCCGAAATAGAGTACAGAGTGGCAAACATGATTATTAGTCCAGTCAAGTTAGACCTGAAATGGCAATTTTCAACCTCGGTCAAACTTGGCTGGAATATTCCAAGGCATGCGAGATTTGAGTATGGATAGTTTTAAGGGGGTTGCGAACCCACCGTCAGGGTGGAATTGCTCCGAAAGCCCTTTTTTTAACGTTTCTAGCGAAAACTACAATAGATATCGAAAAATGTTTTAGGCAAAAGTTGTAGATAATATGATAATCTACAACTTTTGCACAAAACATTCTTTCGCTTCAATTACAGTTATGGCGAAAAATGACTTCAAAGTTGCAAATTTTTTAAATTGGAAATTTTTTTTTTCATTAATTTATTTACGAGGAAACGAAAAGTCTTTTACCGTTTTTCGAATTTCGCGAACTTCAAAAGTTGGGAAAAATTGGGGTGCTGAGGGACCGGCACTAAGCACTCTTCGCACTCATTGAGAGTTTTTAGGCACGATAAACGTGCTTGAAGAAATTAAAATATAAACAAACCCATAGAAAAGAAAGGCCGCGTTTTGTTTATCTATTAAAAAGGAAAGAAAAAGAAGCTGACGTCACAAGGTCAGCATTCTCAAAGTATCAAATAAAAATTGAGTTATTACTCGAACCAGAGGTTTGAGAGAAACACTCGCATAAAATACTCTATATCACTTTTAAAAGAAACCAAAAATAGAATATTCGGTAATTAATTCTTAATTAACTCAGAATAAAAAACTGAATCGATAAAAAATCATTTATTTTTGGTCGAATCGATTTTTGCTTACACTCAATTATTTAAATTGAAATTTGAAAAAAAATTCTTATATTATAAAAAAAAAAATTCCCTTTGATTTAAGTATGAAAAGAATTTTTTTAATACATTTCTTTCTTTATAACCAGATTAATATTTCGATTTTTAATTTATTTTCATTAGTTTTTTATTGAAATTAAGTCTGCCCATGAGATTTTTCCTTTTATTTCCGCCATAAAAGGTATGAAATTCTCATCTATTCCAAGTCTGTTCGACTGAGTTTTTTTAACTCTCCAGTGGGAAGTTATAGTAATGGGTCCGATTTTGCGAATCCCGAATTTTGACATATCTCCACGTTTTAAGGTCTCCAGAGTCGAATACGATCGTTTTCCAGTGGAAGTCTGTGTGTGTGTGTATGTACGTATGTGCGTTCAGAATTATTGTTCGCTTCGATTATCTCGAGAACAAAAAATGATATCGACGTGGAACCGATTTGATTCAACGCGTAATTACGTAACTTAGAAATGATCAGATTTTCAATAAAATTGGTCCGCCATTTTTTTGCAGAACCAAAAACTAGGAAAAATGGAAAACGACCTGAATTTTGCAATTTATAAATTATACTATTTTTTAGACACAGTTTAAAAATCTTTTAAAAAATACAAATATTAAATGATTAGAATACTTGTATGAAAATATGATGACAATATTTCATCGACAAAAAACTTTAAAAACCGAAATCAGCAATGAAAGAATTTTGAACTCGTGTCAGGATTGAGAAAACAGCATTAAAGATGCTATGATAGTCAATAATAATTGTTAATAATATGGAATTGTGTCCATAACAATTGAACATTGTTACTAACAAATGATTATTGATCATGGTAATAATTAAATAAAAAATTTTAAATCGTTATAAACAATAAAAATAGGGACCCATTCTATATATATATGAGTACTTTTAACGCATAATTTTTTCTTTTACTAAAAAAATATTACCAACCGTATCAAATAAATGAAAACATACTTTTTTCGTGTATAACAATGAAATTTGTTGTAAATAATGAAAAAAAGGATCTATGAGGTATATTTGAATTCTTCTAACGCACAATTTTTTCTTTTACTCAAATGAAGTAACTAACCATATCAAATGAATAAAAACACACTCATTTATTATGAAGAATGGAAACGGGTTCTATTCGAGGTGGTTTTTCATTTTTTCCACTGGAAAGTTGGTCGTGTGGACCTTTCGGGTCGCACCCAGACCACTGCAGAGCACTGATATTTTTCAATTATCCTACGTGTCTCGCACTTCGAGATTACGAAGGTAATGTCACTACTTTTATGTCTTGGACCACAAGTTTAAAGCCAAAAGTGAACGACTGGGGCGCCCCTTAACCATCGTGGTGCTGCCTCGTTACTATTTGATCTTTCGTTATTTTTGTGTCAGACAGGCCACATGGTTGATGCGAAAGTGAACAGTATTATACTTTATACAATTGAATATAATTCATTCATCGTATAGAAATTAATCATCAAGTTATCAAGTAAGAAGTTTGAGATGGGTAAGAATAAAAAGTCAAGAAGTCGTGATCGTTCAGAGGAGAGAACATCGAAAAGGCTGCGGAAGCTGGAGGACAAGATGGAGGAATTGACGTCAGGATTTGCTCAAATCAAAGATGTTATGTTGAGGCGTAGTCGATCGTACTCAGTTTCAGAAGAAGCTGACGTGGAAGGTAATTGATTTTACGTTAATGATGTATTGTGAACACGAGATGCAATCACAATTTATATATGTCACATAAATCTTTATGCCCGAGAGGCCATGGTTGATTTTCATTTTTATGGATAATCATAATAATTACGTGTGGTTACAATAGGGTTCTATTTTATCCGAGAAGTAAAATAGAGCCGATATGGTGTTCGGTCTTTATCTGGAAGATAAAGTAGAAATTTACATTACTCTGTTTTATCCGAGAGATCAAAACAGAGTAAATATTAAGCTAACCTAAAAGGCATAGCAAAATAAATTCCTTGTACATTGAATGCCTGCAGGAACCGGAAGTGGTGATGATAAGTCGGTCGAGGAAGTGGACGCTAGTGTGGAACCTAGTAAAGCGGCGGAGCCGCCTTCCAACCTACAATCCCAGATTCCTCAAGTCACCATTGATGAACAACAAAATATAAGAGAGGGAGTCTCTCAGCCAGGAGAGTCCAGTGCACCGGAACAAGAGTCAATTAAAGACAAGGAAAATGAAAGTCCTTGGGACCTAGACGCTGATGCCCTCCGTATTCTTGGTGAAGAACCTGTTGAAGAAAAACCTATGTTAGTCCTTCACTCTAACGTTGCTAATCGCTGGAAAAAATATCTTTCTGAAGGTCTGAGGAAAGAGGTGAAGGAGTCGTTGTTTGAGAAGTATCCTCGAAAGGGGAAACTCCCTTTTGAACCTCCGATTCTAAATGAAGAAGTTGCAGGTAATTTAAAAGAATCGGTGCTGAAGCGAGATAAATATTTTTGTACAACACAAATGTTAGCCGGATCAGCCTTGGTGGCTTTAGCTCCAGTAATTGAATCCTTAGCAACTCTCAAAGATTCAGATAGTATTAAAAGGCTAGAACAAGTTTGGGATGCTGCCAAATTACTGATTGAAATTCACAAATCTCAAACAGTCGCACGCAGGGCTTGTATTTTACCAACGTTATCTAAGCAGTGGGCAACGGCATTGGAAAAAAGGGAACCCGATAACTTTTTGTTTGGTGAAAAGTTAACCGAGAAGGTTAAAGAAATTAAGGCGATGGAGAAAGTAGGTGAAGAAATGAAACCAACCCCACCAAAGAAACCATATGGTACTTCTGGTTCTTTAAACTTCAAGAGCTCGTCGAGTCGGAAGAAGTCAGCGCCTCAGACGAGCGGGAAGTATTCATCGATGAGGAAACCACTGACTTCCAGGTTCCCGACAAAACAATCATCATATCCCAAGTCCAGTCATTATCGCCGGCATCAACGGTCTCAGAACCATTAATCACAGATAATGTTGTAAGTAGGTTCGCAGGTCGTCTAAAATATTTTTTAAATGCCTGGAAAACAATCACTAAGGACAAATTTATCCTTCAGTGCATTAAAGGTTATAAAATACCCTTTGAATCAACTCCTATACAAACTTGTCCACTACCTGAAAAGGTTTGGTCGGACCAAGAGCTGACAAATATCCAATCAGAGATTAGTGAATTGTTAATGAAAGGTGCAATGAAGGAAGTGGAAGAGGTTCCAGGACAGTTTTTGTCTCCTTTCTTTTTAGTCCCTAAAACAGATGGTCAACAGAGGTTCATTCTTAATTTAAAGGATTTAAATAAGTTTATCAATGTGGAACACTTCGAACTCGAGGACCTTAGATCGGCTTGTAATCTTTTGGATCGAGATATCTTCATGGGGACTATTGATCTTAAAGACGTGTATTTTTTGATTCCAGTATGGAAATTGCATCGAAAATTTTTAAGATTTGTTGTTCAAGGAAAACTTTATGAGTTTGTTTGCCTACCCTTTGGCCTATGTACATGCCCATTGACATTTACCAAAGTGTTGAAGCCAGTATTAAACTATCTTCGTCTAGAAGGGTTCTTGTCAGTAATATATTTGGATGACTTTTTATGCTTAGGTCACTCAGTTGAGGAGTGTATGGAGAATTTACATCATGCGATTAATCTACTCGAGAAGTTAGGTTTTATAGTCAATTTTAAAAAGTCCAAATTGAACCCTGAAAGAAGATGTAAGTATTTGGGATTCATATTAGACTCTTCCTTGATGAGGGTAGAGCTTCCGGAAGAGAAAAAACTTGCAGTACAAAAACAGATCAAAGACCTTAAAAAGAAGAGTACAATAAAGATTCGCGAATTTGCTAAAGTTATAGGTTCAGTAGTAGCTTGTTGTCCAGCGGTGGAGTACGGTTTGCTACATTGCAGATCGTTTGAGAAAGCAAAGATCCGAGCGTTAGAGAAAAATAGAGGTTATTTTGATGCAGTGATGACAATTCCTAAATCTGCTCTCACTGAGTGGGATTGGTGGTTGAAAACTTTACCAAATGCTAGTAGGAAAGTAAGAAATAATCATTATGAGAGAACGGTTTACTCGGATGCATCTTTATCTGGATGGGGGGCTTTTTGTGAAGGTGAAAGCGCCAATGGGCTATGGAGCTTGGAGGAAAGAAATCTTCATATAAACTACCTTGAACTCAAAGCGGCTTTATTAGCCTTGAAATGCTTTGCTGCGGATCTAAGGGGTACTGACATTCTAATGATGGTCGACAATACAACGACAATGGCATACATAAATAAAATGGGAGGTGTTCGATATTCTGGTCTTCATAGGTTAGCTTGCGAATTATGGAATTGGTGTGAAGTTCGAAAATTATGGGTTTATGCTTCGTACATCCCATCAGAAGAAAATGTCGAAGCTGATCGATCATCAAGAATCGACAATTCAGATGCAGAGTGGGAATTAGCAGACTATGCGTTTGAAAAAATAGTTAAAAGATTTGGAAAGTTAGAAATCGACTTATTCGCTTCTCGAATAAATACCAAATGTGAGACCTATTGTTCATGGAAAAGAGATCCAGTAGCTTATGCATTTGATGCCTTTACAATTAGCTGGTCTGACTGGATATTTTATGCTTTCCCTCCCTTTGCCGTAATTACTTAAGTAATAAAGAAAATTAAGGATGATAAAGCTGAGGGTATTTTAGTTGTACCTCACTGGCCTACCCAGGTTTGGTTTCCAGTTTTCAAAAAATTATCATTAGGGGACTGGATTTGGTTTGAAGCAGATCCTTATCTTTTAAATTCTCCTTGTAGGTTACGGCATCATCCTCTGGCTGCAAGACTTACCCTGGTTGCCGCGAGGTTATCAGCCAAGCATTGTTAAGCAAGGGCATGCCCAGGGAAGCAGTAGAGACCTCGCTAGCTTCACTGGCAGACTCAACCTCGAAAAATTATAATAGTACATTGAAGCTGTGGTGGAAATGGAATGAAGGCAACGGAAACCCATATGAAGTATCGGTGGAGAAAATATTAAAATTTTTGGCGGAGAGATTTAGTGATGGAATTGGTCACAGTGCAATAAATTCGGCTAGGGCAGCGTTGTCCTTGATATAGAATGAGGACGTCTCTAATAACCCGTTAATAAGTCGCTTTGTTAAGGGTGCATCAAAAATAAGACCTGGAAGGCCTAAATATGAATCTACGTGGGACGTAGATCCAGTGTTAGCCAGATTAGAAACTTGGGCTCCTATAACGGAATTGTCCTTGAAGAAATTGACGGAGAAGTCACTTGTCCTTCTTGCTTTAGGTACAGCGCATCGCTGCCAGACATTGGCATTGATAAAAATTTCAAATATCAACATTGAGGAGTCAGAAATTGAAATTAGAATTTCTGACAAGATAAAAACCTCTCGACCAGGAGCTCCGCAACCAGTGTTAAGACTTCCGTTCTTCTTGAACAAACCGGAATTGTGTATAGCTCGGACCTTGAATCAGTACATATCTGTAACGAAGGACCTTCGAGAGGGTACAGACTCCTTATTCATCGCACTTAATAAGCCACATAAGGCAGTCAAAAGCGAGACAATTGCTCGGTGGATAAGGACGGCGTTAGAATCATTAGGAGATGACAAAAGATTTACAGCACACTCTACTAGACATGCATCAACGTCTCGAGCACAAAAAAGAAGCGTCAGTATTGACGAGATAAAAAAGGTGGCAGGGTGGTCTAGGAATTCTGAAGTTTTTGCTGATTTTTACCACCAGCGAATAGTGGTTTTGATAACAGATTCGCCGAGGCGGTGTTAACACCAGGTACATCAGTAGAGCTAAATGTATAAACACCTGAAAACATGATTATAAAAAATTTTTTATTTTGTCTGTAACGTTGAATATTCAATAAATTGATTAATACCTAGAAAATGTTGCTCTAAACAGCTACCTTCGTAATCTCGAAGTGCGAGACACGTAGGATAATTGAATAATCTTACGAGCCTGCCGCAGGCAGGCGAATGTCAGATCTCAATTATTCGAGTGTCTCGCACGAGAGATTCCCACCCAAGTGGTACCAAGTACTACCCCATCCCATTATCTTCAGACAAATAAAAAATATGATAGCTTTAAACTAATGATCAAATAGTAACGGGGCAGCACCACGATGGTTAAGGGGCGCCCCAGTCGTTCACTTTTGGCTTTAAACTTGTGGTCCAAGACATGAAAGTAGTGACACTACCTTCGTAATCTCTCGTGCGAGACACTCGAATAATTGAGATCTGACATTCGCCTGCCTTCGGCAGGCTCGTAAGATCATTCAATTAAAATGAATATTATTGTTAATTACCTAATTTTATAAATAGTCACTGAAGAAGCCAGTAATATTTTCACTGATAAGTGAAACTTTTAGAGAGGAAGTTTTTGAAAAAGACTTGATTGTTTTCACAAAGTTCCCTTATCCCAAAGAAATTTAAAAGTTCTTTCAATATCAGTACAAAAAAAGGAATAGTTGATATCGATGATCGACATTAAGAGCCCGATAAATTTGTTTGACTCGATTCTTAACTACAATATTTCTTATATTAAATTTGCCCGCGCTAATTTTATTTGCTTTATAAAAATTATAAGTAGGTATTTCAAATTTTTATTAAATAATCGATTCAAATCGTTATTGGCCAATCATGCTCCATTTATTTATTTTTATATAAACTAATTATAATTATAATGTTCGAGTTTTCCACCCTGGAGGATCAATTAATCGTTCGATTAGGACCTAAATTGAAACAAAACTTCCATTTTTGACGACGTAATCTGCCAAGAACTTTTTCCTCGTAACTTTCTGAGGGGAAATTCGTTTACAGCCCTACCTTAATATCGTGTAGTGTATACATCAGTGTTGGCAGCCGTAAAATAATTATTGTACACATGCAATATTTCGACTGTTTGTACAATGTACAATTCAATGAATAGAATGATGCCCAAATGTACAATAATTTTAAATGCTTTAAATATTATATTTATTATGAAAAATTTTTATCAAATATAATACTTAAAATTTTCCGCAGATTATTTAATTTATTTTACTAAGTTCATTCACTCCACTAAAGAGGCATGCAAGGAGTCATCTCATGTGGTGGCTAATAAAATTATTCTTTAGCAATATGCTTACAGTACCGGACATAAATGCTGTGTGATTTTCTGTAAGACAGTATAGGGAAATTGCATGTATAACCTTCAAAAAATTGAACAGCATTTATGTCCGGTACTGTAATTCGATAGGTCAGTGTTTAATGTCTTATCATATAGTCGGACTGAGAAGAGAGTTCCTCAGATGCTCTACATGTGTTCTTGCACGCTTGCGCAATAGTAAAAAACATGATAAAAGAAGTAAAAAATCAGTGGTGGGAAGCCCGAAAGCATTGAAGCAACTCAGGAACTCTTTTCTCAGTTGGACTATAGTATCCAAACTACCCTGGTGAAAATTTCATCGATGGTTGGTGACATAGCGTGTGACTAGTACAACGTAAATTATTTGAATAATAAAGTTAAATTCAAATTTATTTTAAATATTACCGTCAAATCTATCGAATCAACGGATATATCTTCTGTTCAAACTTTATGTATCGTTGTTAGGTTTGTATATAAAAGAAATTATTCATTGTTTTTTTGTAAAAAAATTTTCAATGTTTTATTACAGATTTTATTGTGCTGAAGAAGGACAAGTCGTTAGCAGATTTTGGAACTCTAACAAGTTTTTCAATATAATATCAATGGTGAAATATCAGAAACCGAGAAATTTTCTCAAGCAACTACTTCAGAAGGTATTAATCCAAGAGCAATACCTGTTCAAGCTCCTTTAGCTGAACATATTTTTTATTGTATCAAGACTTCATTTTGAAAACGAAATGTGAGTTTAGATAATGTTATTGGATTTGCTTCTGATGATTGTAATACGATGATGGAAGCTAATAATTCAGTGACCAGTAGATTTGAAGCAACTTGCTCTGGCATATCAATTTTAAAATATATATGTCACTCTATGCATTTGTATGCAAGGAAAGCTTGTAAACAGTTACCTCGTACATGTGAAGACTTGGCTCGTGACATATACAACTATTTTAAATCTAGTTCTAAAGGACAGTTTCATTCTCAAAAATTTAAAACATTTTTGAATCTTGAAATTCATAAGATGTTGCATCCTTCACAAATACGTTGGTTGTCGTTAGTTGATGTTGTTGCTCGATTGTTAGAACAAGGAACGCATCAGAAGAATACTTCAAAAATATAAAATCTACAGCAAAATTACGATCTATGGATCATATTTTTAGTGCTCTCTCAGATCCTTTAATTGATGAGTATTTACTATTTTTGGATTGGATCTTACCAAAATTTACAGATTTAAATAAATTGTTTCAGTCTGATAAACCAATGATTGCAAACATGTATGATGACATAAAATGTATGTATACAGATCTACTTAAGTGCTATCTGAATAGAAATTATATCAATAGAACTCCAATTCAAGATATCGATCCATCTATCTAAGAAATATTTTTTCGTCCTGAAGATGTCTATAAAGGAGTGTAAGTATCTATGTATTTGCAGTTATCGGAAATTCGTTCTAACATTCAATTACAAAAAAATTTTTGTCAAGGGTATGTTAGATTTTTTGTGAATGGTTGTCTAGAAATCAAGAAAAGGTTTAATTTCAATCATCAAATCTTAGAACTAATGTCTACATTGCAACCATCTAATACAATAAGTGAAAATTTCAGAGATCGGGTACCAAGTTTAATACCCTTAATGCAATCATTACTTCGTGTGGTACATAAAACTGAATATCAGGATATTGATAATAAATGGAGAAAACTGCCAAACAATATTCTTTATCCATCATCTCATAATAAACAAAAGACAGAGAGAACTTCTACATCTTTATGAGATGATTCTTCTTATGACCGTGCAATTCTTTGTCTTGTGGATGAGTCTGATACTGATACTTCAGACATAGAAAATATGCATGTGATTATACCGAATAACAAAAAATATCAATATTAATATTTCTATATTTTGTAATATTTCTATATTAATGTTGAATAATTAGTCCTGTTATATTACTGAGATTTTTTCAATATTTATAAAGATATTTCAATTGATGAAAAAAAATTATTTGTTATGAATAAATTAACAATTTATTTATTAAATATTAATGAATAAAGTCAAGCGATAGATAAAAACCTACATTGTCAATTACTACGCTTCACCATATCAAAATTAAAAGATTAATTATTATTGCATTATTAAATTTTTTAGTAAAGATCCCCAATAGATAATTTTGAATGTCCCGCTTTGTACTCTAAAAACACATGATTTTCGCCATAAAATAAATTGACTATTTTAACTTAATTTTTTTGTTTAATACAATTTACATTGTACAAATTGAAAATTTGTTAATGGTACAATAATTTTATTGAAAATACAATAATTTTTCGGCCCTGGCTTAAAAATATCTTCTTACGGGCCTGCTGACACTGATATACATTGAAGATGCAGTTTGTATTTAGTCATGTGCAATCAGAAAGCTGCTATTACTGCCATAATAAAATTTTAATTTTTTTTTGAGAAAACAAAGAACTATTAAAAATTTTTACCATATAATCGTATAAAGCAATCAAAAAGCAATTATCATTACGTAAGCATTCGGAGCAAATTTAACCCTTCAGACATATCGCTATGAGATTTTCTCTCACACTTAGAATGAAAGTTAATTTTTGCTATTTTTTCAAATAGCACGATGGTTTGAAATTTCCAGTACCCTCCTAGAATTCGATTTTTTTTCATATAATGGTAACAAAATTTTTTTTTCATTCTCTTAAAATATTTAAAAAATAAGTTTTTCAAAAGGTGTGAGATTTTTTCTCATCGCGATAACAAAAATGTTGGCGTTTTGTAGCTGTTCGGCTGTTTCCGTAATACGTCGATAATCTTCGTCTCATGCTCATTTCGTGATCGTCCATGTCGTTTGAGATCATCCATATTGTTTTTTATTATTGGAGAAGTGAAGAAAGTGCAATGTATTTTAATTATTTTAATTTATTTTAATTATAAAAGAAAATATTTCATTAATCGAATAAGAAGTAAAAAGTTATTGCTATTATGAGGTGAGTTGATAAATATTATTTATAGTACTTTCTGTGCGTAACAGTTATCATTATTTATAAAAACATAATTTCAAGTTGATGACAGCTTACTTATCAGTTATTTTTTATAATAGACCTATCAACAACAATTCGGAGCAAAATCTAAGTTGGTTAGAAGAAGAGGAAAATGATTATTTTCATATGGAATTCGAGGACAATGAACAATTCTCTGATGCTGAATCACGTCATAGTGAACACGATACTGACACTGAGCAGTCTGAAGAATCTGGTGAAGCAGGCGAAGATGATCAAGGAGTTGAAGACAATAATAAAGATACCTCAAATAATTATACTCAGGATGGAAAACGTCTTTTATTAGGAAAGGATAAGAAAACAATATGGTATCACAATCCACCTAACCACAGAGTAAGAACCAAAAAACATAACCTCGTTATTCGTGTACCTGGACCGAAAGGTGTTGCTAAAGAGGCAAAAACTATTTTAGAGTGTTGGGAATTGTTTTTTGATAATTCCATGATTGAAAAAATAGTTAATTATACAAATATTTATTTGCAAAAAATTGCATCACTGTATCGTGGTCAAAGAGATTCAACACCAACAAATGTCATTGAAATTCGTGCTCTCTTCGGCTTGCTTTATTTTCTTGGTATGAGAAAAGCTGCACACTTAAACTTAAAAGAACTCTGGGCAACTGATGGCACAGCACCAGATCTTTATAGAGCAGTCATGAGTTATGGTCGATTTTGTACATTATTATCATCACTTAAATTAGATGACATGAATGATCGGGATGAAAGAAAGAAAATCGATAATCTTGCAGCAGTTCGCGAGTTTTATGAAAAATTTAATACTAAATGTGAAGAAAATTATGTGCCAGGATCGTGCGTCACTGTGGAAGAAATGTTAGAAAGCTTTCGGGGAAGATGCAAATTTCGCCAGTATATACGAAACAAACCTACTAAGTACGGAATTAAAATATATTCTCTTGTTGATTCAAGAACATTTTATACTGTGGAAATGGAAATTTATGCAGGCAAACAACCACCTGGAAAATATGATGTCTCTAATTCGGCATTTGATGTTGTCAAAAGAATTACTGCACCAATACTGAATACAGGAAGAAATGTAACATTTGATAATTATTTTACATCAGTTCCTCTGTTATTAGATTTATTGAAGAATCATAGGACAACAGCTGTTGGAACCATAAGATTAAATAAAAGGGAAATTCCACAAGATTTTCTATGTGTTAAAAATCGAGAAATTTGTAGCAGTAGATTTTTGTTTTCAGATTGTAGTACGTTAATGTCATACGTACCAAAAAAATCAAAAAATGTTCTTTTGATTTCAACTCTACATAATGATGCTGTGATTGATAAAAGTACAGGTGATAAAAAGAAACCTGAAATTTTATCATTTTATAATGTAACCAAAGGAGCTGTTGATACAGTGGATGAAATGAAATCAAACTATACTGTTGCTCGCGAGACACACAGATGGCCCATAGTCATTTTATACTCTTTTTTAAATATTGCTGTTATCAATAGCCACGTGATTTGGAAAGCCAACACTGAAGTAGAGAAGACTACAAGAGATTTCATCAAAGAACTTTCATCACAATTGTTTCAACCTCATCTACAAACACGGATGCAAATGTCAAACTTAAGCTTGGATTTGCGTCGCATCATTTCAAAGGTCGGAGGAATACCTGTAGTGACACATGAACGAACAAGTGACGGATTATGTGGCTACTGTCCACGAAGAAAAAACATAAAAACAAAAAAAAGTTGTTCCCAGTGCTCTGTTTGTATATGTCTGAAACATACAATTTTTTATTGTTTAAATTGTCAACCAGGCAATAACAATTTACACTAATTATTCGAATATGATGTATTCTTCTCCAAATTCAGTTAAAAAAATGTATTAGGTATTTATAAATATCTAAGATAAACTAGTCCATATAATTGAGACAAAAAAAATTATATGAGTTGCTCAATTACTATTAATATTATTATATTGTTGCTCAAATGACTGGAAATATATTTGCTGTGTTATTAGATTAATACATATCTGAGCGTTAAAATTTTTACTAAACGAAACATAAATGTAATGTCAATGATAAAACTAAAATTGAAAAACTGTGTTACTAGATTATAACATGCTTCTGTGTTAATGTTTTAGAAAAAAAAAGTAAGTTTTTAAATGAAAAAATTGTTTAAGTATTAACATTGTTATAAATAAACGTATCCCTTTATCGTTAATTATATTTATTAATATTATTTTTATATATTAATTATAAAAATATCATTATATTAAACAGAGTTTAAAAAACTAAGTTTCTTAATTAAAAAAATGTTAAAGCGTTTTATTTTTGTTAAAAAAAATGTGATTTAATTATTAATAATATGACTAGAATTATAACTAGGTTGCCAAAACTTAATATCATTAAGTGTTTATATTTTTTAAAAAAAAAAATACCACTGAAAAGTTCATAATCTAAGTTATGTTGATTTAAAAAATGTTTAATCACTTGTATTATTGCAATTTCTGAATTTTGTGTTAAGAATTTTCTCAGAATAAAAATAAAAAAAATAAAAAATGGTGATTTATTTTCTTTTCAATTAAAATAAATTAAAAAATACATTTTACATTTGTTTAAAAGATTAAATACTAGGTTTTTATATTTAATTCTAAATTATCGCGCGTATACCAACACGCATGCGCAGTAATGGCGACGCATGCGCACAAGCTGTGAGAGATTTTCTTATCGCGATAGGAAAGACGTGGCTCGGAAGGCGATATGACTGAAGGGTTAAAATAATTTTTTTTCTTTAAGTTTACCAATCCCGATTGCTAACTTTAGATCAGAGAAATGAAGAGAATTAGCGATATTCAACAACACCATAGTTACCTTGGTTTATGCAATAAATATAAATTTTATTAGAATGATCAGCATAAAATAATGTGTAAAAAATATGTACTTTTACAATGAATACGATGTTAAAATGGTGACATATATTAAATAACTGAACTACAATCCAATTCACGCACAGAACAATTATTTCACTTTTTTAGTGACAAACACAATTTTAAAAATTTTAAATTGCAAGATTTAAACTTCATTTGATACACTAAGCGACATAAGTGCTGTCTCAATTCAGTACAGAACTGGACATTAATAGGCAGGCAATCATGTGTACCATACCAGAGAAGAAAGACCAGTATAGAAGTCCAATGCTGTGCTAAAAATCCGGACGAAGTTTCGGTGGGAGCGTGACATCCGTCCCCAATAAGATGTCAGTCAAAGGCATTTTTACAATCTTTTAAATTTAAATCTTTAAATGTATAATCTTACTGATTGTTAATCAAATTCTGTGATGCCCAGATTTTTTATCTAATGATCATTTTAAAAATAAGCTTTATTCTTTTAATCTTTTAAAATTGGTTTTTTTTTATTTTCAATCATTTAATATTCAATCAAATTATAAAAATTTTTCTTTTTTTAATGTTTATCATTTCGTTGAACAGTCAACTTAAGAAATTAGGACTGGTAAGTTATCTTGCGTCGGTATAGTAGAAAAAAATTCAAAATGCTTATACAGAGAAAAGTCTTCTTTCTGGCTCATGTAATGTCATGTAATTCCTACTACATAAATAAGTATATTTAGGCTTATAATCTAATGATAATAACATTTTTATCTCAATGTTAACGTAATAACGTAATCCAAGTGAAAAAAATTTGAAAACTGAATTATTAAAAAGTTGAAAAACTTCAAAAATAATGTCTGTCAGTATTATTCTCTCCTTTAATAAACATAAACAATTTTCGTGCAACGAAAAAAAAAGTTTTATTACTTAAGTTTTTATAAAAATAAATCAATATTTTTCATGAATACCTTAATTTACCTGAATTTAAATATAAATATAATATGAATATAAATTTATTAATAAATTTTAATATAAATCACTACTCAATTCAATTATTTTAAAATAAAATAATCAGGGTCAATTAAAGAATTCAAAAATCATTCCTGAAGTTATAAGTATAACTTTTATTTATATTTAAGAAAATTTACATTTGCGTGTATCTCTCTAACTTTGGTTATCTACACTTCCAAATTATGAGCCACGTTGTCTCAGCTCCCGTCGAATATTTGTGCGTTCAACTACTGCCTACAAATATTCTAACAATGTCATCCTACATATAAATTGATATTATAACAAATGTGTTTTAATATTTACCCAAAAAATTACTTTTTTGTGTTGAAACTAATTGTCGTGTGAACTAAATTGAGTAATAATAAAAATTTAATAGGATCTTAATTTTATTTCTCTTCAATATATAATTTATTTGTGTGAAAATTTATTTTGTTTTTAAAAAAATATGTCATTAATGAAAAAAGAGTTTGAAATAAAAATTATATTGAAAAAAAACCTGTTTAAAAAATTTCATTACACGATGGAAGAAACTAACTTTATTAGAAAAGTTAAACCAAGCGTAAATTAATGATACAAATAATATATTTTATTTTATTTATAATTACGATAATACTAGAAGACTGTGTTACTGATAGTCAATTAAAACACAAACTAACTGAAGAAATAGCAAGTAATTGAGTAACTTAAATGATTGATGAAACAAAAAAAGGAAATATATTGAAGAAAAATTCAATTTAAAAGTAAAGTATTTTTTTATTATTTTGAATTGTGTAATTGATATTGTAAAGAAATTAACTCAATATAACTTGATGTGGTATATCTCTAACGATAAAAAATATCGATATAAGTAATTGGTTTTGAAGAAAATTATGCTCCATTTCAAGAAGATCAATCTAATATTTATTTTTGGTAAGTAAAGTTGCTATTAAACAGTTCAAAATTCAAAATCATATAAGCATTTTGAATTTTTGATTGAAAACAGTGTAATTACTGTCATCTATCAGAAAACAGTGACACTAGTTGAATTTTTTTTCTACTATACCGACGCAAGATAACTTACCAGTCCTCATTTCTTAAGTTGACTGTCCAACGAAATGATAAACATTAAAAAAAGAAAAATTTTTATAATTTGATTGAATATTAAATGATTGAAAATAAAAAAAAACCAATTTTAAAAGATTAAAAGAATAAAGCTTATTTTTAAAATGATCATTAGATAAAAAATCTGGGCATCACAGAATTTGATTAACAATCAGTAAGATTATACATTTAAAGATTTAAATTTAAAAGATTGTAAAAATGCCTTTGACTGACATCTTATTGGGGACGGATGTCACGCTTTCGTTTCGGTCAACATGTCGGTAATCTCAGGTCACAACATAAAAGTTTCTATGAACTCATCGAGCGATGGCGCTGCAACGGTTTATTTCAGCCACGCCCCTTAATCTAAGAGAGAAAAGAGATAAGATTTGTGTTCTTTTTTACTCTCATTACAAGAATCCTAAGCCAGTTTATTTTCAAGAACAAATTTTTAAATAGAAAAGGTCCAGCACTGTTCGCAACATACATAGAAGCTATAAAATCAATGTGATATTCTTGTAACAGCTTAGAGGTAACACGCTCGACGACAAAAACGTAGGTTTTATGGTCAAGCCTATCAATGTTGTTGTCTTTTTTTTTTTTATTTAATTAATTGTAATAATGAATTTTTTGAGGACAAATTTTATACGCGATCACATTAAAGGAGAGTAAAAAATGATGTACCAAATAACGATGTTCATTAATTTTGAAAATTTGGGATTTTTATCCATTACTCAGAGAAGAAAAAGGGTACTAGTATTGGTACAAAAAAAAATGGAATAGATTTTATATAATTAATGAATAAGAAAAAAAGCAACTGGCGAGATTTGAACCAATCACCGAAAGATTCGTAGACAAAGAATTTACCCCTGAACTATCATTCTATTTACTGGAACAGAAGGTAAAGTAATACAGTACAATCTCTCTAAAGTTGACAAGTCGGTACAGGATCTCTCTCTAATGTTAACTTGCCCATTTTTTAAGAGACCCATCTCCCCTCTACGCAGGAAAATGCGTAGATTAGAAATTTATATGTCACTCTAGAAATGTGCCCATCTCTCCGCTGCGCAGTAGAATGCGCAGAATTAAAAATTTGAGAAAGAGAAGTAGTCCCAGCTATTATATTACATATTGAATAGATTTTGAATACGCGCCACCACGATACCATTCTATTGGTCCGTTAAAATTTAAGGTGGGGAGAAATATTGGTAACATTAGAGAGATTATCCTGTCAACAATAGGGAGAGAGTAGAGATGTGAATCGGTAATTGACGGGTAAATTTACCGTAAATTACCGGTAAAAAAACGCGTCAATGACCAAGCCTGTTTTACCATACCGGTCAGAAAAATGCTGATCTCTGATTGGTTAATACATGTCCAATCACAGTTTAGAATTCCCAACGGCATACAAATGTTTATTTGTTCTATCAGGTATATATTTTCATTTTTATTTGTTTATTAAAAATACTGATAATATTTAATATAAGAAAATTCAATTTGTAGATAAGGATTTTCATTGAGAACTTGGTGCAATGGGGGAGAACAAATCAATATATAAACATTTCTCTGCAACCTAACCTAACCTAAATAAAGTACCTGAATGTTTTTATGATTTATATAATCATTTTAATAATGCATTTAATAATATTGGAAATATTTTTTCGGAAGAAGAAAAGCTGAGCATATATACTTGTTTAGAAAATCGTAAAACTATGGCTCTACGGCCCATACATTATGCAGCTAACTTACTTGATCCTCAATTAAAAGGAAAAAATTTAAATAGGTCAGAAATGGTTGAAGCTCATCAATTAATTATAAATCTTGGTGATAAATTAAATCTAAATAGTGATAAGGTATTAAAAGATTTAACAGATTATGTGTCAGAATCAAGTATGTGGAGTTACGACTACGTTAAGCGAGCAAGTATAATCACTTCAGCATGTCAATGGTGGCAAAGTATTTGCCAAAAATCTTCGTTGAGCAAAATAGCTGTGGCTATATTGACTTTACCTGCAACATCAGCTGCAACTGAGCATGAATAAGTTGAATTTTTAGAAGAAGAATTTACTCAAGACTAATTAGTGATGTTGATGGAATTGAATCAGTATTAGACTTGTTATTTCCTAATGAAATATGTCAATTATTATGTGATATTACTAGTTGATAGAAACTATAGATTATATGGTTTTATTTTTTCATAAATAATTTACATAAAAGTTAAAAAAGTCAAATTCTTTATAATATGTAATAACGAAGGATTATCTATTTTATAAAAAAAAATGTACCAAAAACTTAACTAAATAAACGTTTATAATAATTTTCAATATATTTATTATTTCTGTCCTAACAGTCAAAAATGTAAAATATTTTTTTTATTACAAATTACAAAATTTTTTTTTCATCTTATAATAATTAATTAGTTTTAAATTAACAAGTGCAAAAAGCAAAATTAACTTAAGCAAATTGGCAAGCAAGTTCGAAAGCAAGCCATTTCCTCGGTAAAAAGCTCATCATATTCATCTATATAGATGCGAATGACCGGTAATTTACGGTAATTACGCTGACCGACGGCTTGACGGTAAATTTTACATTCAGAATTTTTTGACGTCAGAATACCGTCAGATACCGGTAATTTTACGTGGTAATTACCGAATTTTCTATTACCGGTAAATTCACATCTCTAAGCAAGACAGAGCACAGAATATATCTATCTATCTCCGTCTTATTTTTCAGAGAAGACTGCGAGTTCGAACAGTTGACGAGCAAGCACATTCCCCACCCTCTGTTACCAAGCCTGAAGCTTATGATATCTAAATGTAAACAAAGCAAATGAAAATATGCTGGCTCTGTAGTCAGAAGATTCGACATTTATTTTACCGAATGGTGTTCGATTCCAATTGCGGCAAAATTTTTTTTTTATTCAAATCCCGGGAAAAACTATCAGATCTGCTTAGATCTAATTTGATCAAATCAGATCTACTTATATCTTGACAAATCTGTTATTTTAAGTGTATTGACATGATTATGCATGATGGGGAACAATCATATTTTATCAGACCCGGTCTTGTTATGTGGTTCAATGCAATTTGATCTGATCGAATTGGGGCAGAACCTGCCAGATCTGACGACATTGTCTTGACCGCAATTTCATGTCTATTAAGATATAACCAGATCTAATAGAACATGCTATCAAATTTATTTAGACCTGACTTTTATCAATTTGACATAATTTCAGCTGGTCAGATCTTACTATTCATGAAATTCATTTTAATCAGACCTGGTTCATGTAAATTTACTACAGTCTGATATGGTCAGATCTAGCCACATCTGACCAGATCTGCTTAGATGTGTGTTCGAATTTGAAAAACAGGAACTTTAATCACTTTAAACATGTTACATACATATATTTTTACGTTACTTTATTCAATACATGAGGACATTTACAAATAAAATTATCCACTTGGATCATGTGACTTATATTAATAATATTTCTTACATTTATTAATTTATAATCATCAGTCTCTACAATAGGGAGTATGAAATGTAATTTTGTCATAGATTCTTGATGAATTAATAGCCGGTGTTGTTGAATAGAAAACTTTTTAAAAATGAAGTACAATTCATTATCAATTTCTAAAAAGTATCTAATTACACCATACATTTCTTCGTATTCATATGTACTCAACTTAATTGTGTAACTATTTGTTTTAATTTGTTTGTAAATTTCTGTTGTATAAATGTGTCTATCAATTTCCATCCGGGAGTATATATTTATATTTATTAAATTTAGATGATTTAAATTCAAAATTTGTAGCTCAAGATCATTCATTCGAATATTACATGTCTTTATCTTATTCATAAGTCTATACTTGTTTTTTTTATGTATATTTCCAGCTGATACGTTCAGATCATTATGTATTTTATTTTTTAGAGCATGTTTACCTTGAGCTAATTTCAAATTTTTCATCAGCTCTTCACCAAGATGTTTCGAACCGTGGAGACTTTTCGCGATGATTCCATTATAATTTTCAAACGGAAATGCAGATGATGACCATAATGGTCCCCAACGTCGAACACATAATACAAGGTGTGTTAATTGATGAAGATTATATGAATATTCATGATTACCATACAACTCACCAACATCTCTGACAAATAATCGTAAAAGAATCTCAGTACTATTTAAGTCATTCATGTGTATGGGTTTCTGAAGTAAATTATATATAGACACGATTAAAAGAAACCAATGTTGTAGATACTTGTTAGGTAAGAAACCAAGAAGTGCTGGAGCTGAATAGTATAGGAGCCAATTGAAAAATTCCGATGCTTTAAAACATTTAAAATCTGACAATTTTCGAGGCATCCTATTGAAGAAGTATGGTGGATGAATATTCAAAATAAATGAGTCTATATTATCGAGATGTTTTTTAATATTCCAATCACCTGTTTTATTTATCCAAATGTTAATAAATTGCTTCACAACACCCAAAAGCACTGAGTGCATGAATTCTGGGATCACACAGGTTCCCAAATCAATAAATGGTAAATTAGAAATGACAGTTGATCCTTTTACACCCTTAATATGTATTTTTCCTTCAGTAAAAGCTTTATTACCTTGCTCAATCATTCGTTCAGATGTTCTTAAACAACTTGTTTTCTCTTTAAATAAAAAAACTCTTCTTTTTTTTTTATCCTTGGGACCTTTACATTGTTGAGTCTTAATTTGGCAAATGTTGCAGCCAAATTTTCCATTGAAATAAGAAATATTCTGAATTGCTGCTCGAGCTGGAGCATCAGCTATGAACAATGGTGCTTTAATCATTGAAGTAAAGGTCTCATTTGTTGTTTTATCAGTCCATTGAATACCCTTCTCGAAACTCTTAATAATTTTATCACAAACGGGCTTTAAGAAAGTATTCATTAATGGTTTTCTTTGAGTATCATACCACAAACCGACTATAATTATAAATGACTCTCTAAGATATTCAGGTAATTCCGCTATGGTGAACATAAGAGGCCAACAGTGAGTTGTAGCACTTTTCACTAAAGATAAGCCATCTGTATTGAGAATCAACGTCAAATCATATTGGTTACGATCTTTCCTAGAATTAACTCTGATGTATTCGGAACCATCAGTAATATCTGAGATTAATTCACTATGATGAGGTAAAACTTGCAATTTACTGGCCAAGTTTCTATGTTCAAACAGAAATTTTATCTGGTCGATAATATCCAGTTCGTAAAAATATGATGTGCCCTCTGTGCTTTTGCATGACGTACATATTCTCAAAACACTATTTTCTTCAGTATAAAACGCACATTTTTTACAATACAAATGTTTGATAATTTTAACAGGTGGAGATATTTTACGAACATAATCGAATAATGTAAATATAGTTTTTGGCATTTTGTTAGGCTTAGGAAGCACTTTTTGAAGTATATTCAAATTTTCTTGTAAAGCAATTTTAGTTAATTTTCGATTTAAATATGACTTTAGAACTATATGAACACTTTCCATCACTGTTACCTCTGCATTTAAGTATAATTTGGTAGCATCGTTATTTTTTGTGTGATTATCAGCAATGTTATTGTTATCATTAACATTGCTATCATCATGTCTATTATGATTATTACTATTGTTGCCACTAAAAGTATCATTGCTATTGGTATTAATATTTTCATCATTATCTTCGATGATGTCTTCCCAATCATTCTCATCATTATCTTCAATGATCTCTTCACAATCATTCTCACTACTATCATCGATGATCTCTCCACAATCTTTTACACCCCTAAATTCTCTTATTTTTTTTCTGTTTTCTTCATAAATAGGTTTATATTCATCAGACGAAGACAATCTTGAAGTAAGGTTTTCATCATTGGGACTATAATTGTTATCTAAACTTTTGTCATCATGTTGTCGATTTATATTAAACTCAATATCGGTATGATTACTCCTAATCTTTACTCGTTTCTTTGCCCAACGTTGTAATGTTTTCAAAGGAACCTACAAAAAGTTACATGACGTGAATGTATTTGATAGTGAGAGTCATAGATATTAATGGAAAAAATTATTGATGCAAGGCGAAAAATTTTTTTAATACTTTTAAATATTTTTGACACTTCAGAACTAACAGTAAGTCATGAGAAATGAAATAAAGTGTACGATTGAATTAAAAAAAATGACAGTCAACTTATTTACCAGTATGCTTGAATTTTCTTTCCAAAGTTTATATTTTTTCTTTTCTGGAGATTCTGTTGATTCATCGAAATCAGGATTATTCCTTTTATCGAACGACATATTTCTTTGTGGACTGTAAAAAATAAATTCTAAAAATAAATTCATTCATTTGATGATTAATTTGTTAAAATTTGAATAATTTAAAAGTTTGAGATAAATTTACTTACCTATCATGAAATATTGAATATAATATATTTTTTATTTAAACGATTAGTGTTGTTGAGATGTAATATATTTTTATAATACTGGCTTACGATAGGAGCACGTGATTATCGACATTTGGCGTCATGGCCGTTACATAAAAGCAGAACATTCAAAAACGGAACAGGCACAATCGTTGAAACAAGTGGAATAACTGGAACAAGCGGAACGAAATAAAATGGAATTGGAAACTCAATGCGAAATTCAATGATAATAATGCTGCTGTAAATTCATATTGATTGATTTTAATTAATAATTTACATAATTCAATCGTTCATCTCGTGTTGAATTCTAAATTACATTTCATTTTATTTCGCTTGTTCCGGTTATTCTACTCGTTTCAACTATTCCGCCTATTCCTACTGTTCCGCATTTATGTAACGGCCATGATATCACTTGTTGATTATCACGTACTCTCGTCGGAAGCCGGCAATTTTTGTGACGCATTTTTATGAGTTTATTAGAATAATATATTATTGCATTGTTTATTATTTAAAAAAATAAAGAACAAAATGTATCTTGTGCAATTTGATAAGAAAAATTTATATCATATTTGTGATGACAATTCTATTATTAAAACAGAAGAAGCTTATTTAGAAGAAGGTGACAAAGTTCAATTTATTTTTAAAAATAAAGTGCATAATGGAATTATATTGAAAAAATCAGGTAATTAAATTACGTATGATAATTATTTATTGTCAGTCATAATGTAATATTCAATATTTTTAATATTTCGATAGATAAAGTAAAAATTGCATGTCCATGAGAATTTTTACGATTTTATTCATTTTTTCATCTTTTGTAGATGACAGAAATTCTCTGATATCTGAGAAGAAAAAGTTAGAACAAGCCTCTTCGAAGAAAACAAATATTGATTTGAATAAATCTAGTTCTTTAGGTAAACGAAAACGTATAGCAGCAAAAAAATGGTCTCCTAGAATAACCCCAAAAAAAGAAAAAACAACAAAAAATGATGTTCAGAAAAAAGTAAGTGATCTAATATTGTATAAAAATCGAATATGATACAATTGATGTCTTCTGATTCGTACTATATAAATTGATTGATTTTATTACAGCAGAAGAAAATTTTAAAAACAAAAGAAAACATTTCGTCCTCAGAAAGTAGTGAACCGAATGAACCATGTACATCGAAAGTACAAGATATTTCAAAATTGAAGAAAAGAAATGTACCAAAAATGAATATCGGAGAAGCTAGGGATGATTATTCTATTGATACAGCAAAAAATGTGGAGCAAAATCGAAATAAATTAGCACCTGGAGATGAACAACATTTTGATGACATGCAGGATAATTCGCGGTATTGTATACAGGATGATGGTGAAGATGGTATACAAGAAATTATCAAGATGTGATTGAGGAAAATAATCAAGATGCTATACAAAATAATGGTAATGATAACGACCAGGAAGAAGAGGTACATATAAATCAAGAAAATATTATGCGTAATGCCAATATTAATAGAGAAGAAAGAGAGCTAGATGATGATGACAATATCGATTATTCAGTACCAGGTAGTCAGTTAATCGGTAGAGTTCATCGTAATGAGCAGGTATGTGGGATTTCTATTATTAACAAATAAATTATCATACAATTGTTTGAATATAAATACAAATATTTGCAGATGATTGAATTACGAGAAAACATATATTGTCGAAAAATAATACTGGACAGTGCTATAGGAGGGTCACGAAAAGCATCTCACATTGCAAGACGCTTGATTGAAGGTGTATTCAAGCCACATGCTTTGTCCAAGTGCACTTTTACTGGCCAATCAGTTCGCTCACAAGGCCGAGAACGTTTACAACAAACCACATATTGTCTCGATGGAACAGCTAAAAAGGTTATCATTGGTAATGAATACGTCAATTGCATTTTCTATGACTTATAATCTTACATTTCCAGTATTATATAATATATTTTGACTATTTTTCAGAATATTCAAAAGAAAAAGCGACTGAGCTGGGGCTTGAAGTTCAAAGTGATAATTACATCGGAAAAGCAATGTCACAACGATTGGGAGAGATTAAGAGGGAATACCAATGTGCAAGAAGTACATTCCATAACAACTAATACTCACAGAAAACGTGATTTTGGAAAAATTATTTCAATTTTTTATTCATTTGCATGCTTTAAATGATTTTCATTATCAAAGTTTAGTTTTTTAGAGCTCGATGCTCATTGATATTTTTATGTCATGATTTAATTTAGAAATATTTTGGTAACTTGTCTACTTCTATGGATATAGACTGATTATTTGTGTAGTTACATTATTATTCCGGTATTGTTAATTTGTAATACGTCCAATAAGAAGTCATAATTTAAATGATTTTCATTATCAAAGTTTAGTTTTTTAGAGTTCGATGCTCATTGATATTTTTATGTCATGATTTAATTTAGAAATATTTTGGTAACTTGTCTACTTCTATGGATATAGACTGATTATTTGTGTAGTTACATTATTATTCCGGTATTGTTAATTTGTAATACGTCCAATAAGAAGTCATAATTTAAATGATTTTCATTATCAAAGTTTAGTTTTTTAGAGCTCGATGCTCATTGATATTTTTATGTCATGATTTAATTTAGAAATATTTTGGTAACTTGTCTACTTCTATGGATATAGACTGATTATTTGTGTAGTTACATTATTATTCCGGTATTGTTAATTTGTAATACGTCCAATAAGAAGTCATAATTTAAATGATTTTCATTATCAAAGTTTAGTTTTTTAGAGTTCGATGCTCATTGATATTTTTATGTCATGATTTAATTTAGAAATATTTTGGTAACTTGTCTACTTCTATGGATATAGACTGATTATTTGTGTAGTTACATTATTATTCCAGTATTGTTAATTTGTAATACGTCCAATAAGAAGTCATAATTTAAATGATTTTCATTATCAAAGTTTAGTTTTTTAGAGTTCGATGCTCATTGATATTTTTATGTCATGATTTAATTTAGAAATATTTTGGTAACTTGTCTACTTCTATGGATATAGACTGATTATTTGTGTAGTTACATTATTATTCCAGTATTGTTAATTTGTAATACGTCAAATAAGACGTCATAATTATTAGAATAGTACAAATGATAGTCAAAGTTTAATGTATTCATAGATATTTAAAAAGAGGATATTTATAACCTTATAATCGAAATATATATTTATCTTCAATAAAGTTGTAATAAAGATTGATGGTTCATGTGAATAAAAGGAGTTTCACCTCAATATGTATATATATGTATCCCTATATTTTTCCTTCTCACCATGTATTTCCATGTTGACTTATATACGAACACGTATTATTGTGTCAAATCAGATCAAATATTATTGAATATGTTCATATATAGAAAGATCTGGTTATAGCTACTAGCGTTTGTATCTGCATAGGTAATATTATGTGTGGTTATATATAGACAGATCGGATGAATAATATAACATTAGGACTTATCTGGCCATATCTTATTAAATCTCGTCAGATATAGACAAAATCGAGATCTGGCTAGATCTGATCAGAGCTAAAAAAAATAAGTGAATTATGTCTGACCAGATCTTTTCAGATCTGAATGTTTTTCCCGGGATTGCATGTAATTGCAATTCTATCATGCCAAAAATGAGTTTTAAATTTCAATTTTTATGTGAAATTATTTTTCAATTAATCGATGACAAATGAGAAAATATTTGAACAGAGCCATTAACCTTTTTTGTACATATACATTGATAATAGCCTTTTTTAACAACTTATTAACAATAAAAAATAGTTTAAACAATCCGCGGCGAGTTCCGACACTTCTCCGGCAAGCTCTACCCACACTCTCTGTGCCCAAGCGTGCAGCTTATAATTTTGAAGCATATGTAAACATATTGGAACCATAATAGCTCAGTGGTTAGAGCACTAACCTTTCTTTTTGCTGGGCAGGGTTCGATCCCAGTCATAGGCAATTTTCTTTTCTTTTTTTTGCTTAAGTGACTTTATATATTTATAAATTAATTCATATATTTTATTTCATTATTCTTCCAATTGATTACGGAAAACAACTTGTTTTTCTGAAAATAAGCTGAGGGTGAAGAACAAGTTACTATGAATTCTCTTTCTTCGAAAATGTTGTCTTTAAAAGACAATAGGAATTGATTTTGAACTTATATAAGCAACCAATTATTGTATTTATATAAAATTTGATTGAAAAAAAAAGGAAAAAAAAGTTGGCTATGACTGGGATCGAACCCTGCCCAGCAAAAAGAAAGGTTAGTGCTCTAACCACTGAGCTATTATGATTCCAACAATGTCGAACCCTAATTGGTAAGATGAAAGCTTGGTGTTCTTCTCACAGAGCTAACACATCATCTCCAACATTACGTTTATGTTTATAAATTGTGTAATGCAGGCTTGAGTACGAAAGGTGGGGATAGAGTTTGCCGGCGAAGTGCCGGAAATCCCCGTGGATTATTTCAACTACTTCTAAATATTTCTAAATTGCTTAAAAAAAAACTATGTTTATATAGCTATAGTAAAAAAAGTGTTTATAACCCTGTTCATATGTTTTCCAACTCGACGTCGATAAATTACATAAATAATTAAGGCTGGGCTTTACTAACCTCAAATCACCTCAAATTTTTCTCGTCAAACTGTGCATTTTTTATTTGTTTTTTTCATGTAAAAAATATTCAGGAATATGTAGAAAAGTGGTATACACATCGGAAAACAAAGATTTATAGTTCAAGTGTAATAATAATCGTAGAATAAATAACTGTTCAGTGAAGGGCTCATGACAAGTGCATCCGCCATGACACCTCAAAATTCAAAATTTCACGATTTTTTTGTACAAAAAATCGTGAAATCACACCAAAAATAGCCCTAACGGAATTCACAAAAATACGCGCCAAATATGAATAACGAAGACGATGATCATCGTTCATCAAGTGCGATCTCTATAAAACTTCTTTATGTGAACAACTACAAAAATGCGTGAAATCATTGCAGCCAAGTATTTGAACATAAAGATTAATTATATTTAATAAAATAAAATAGAAATGTTTTTTAATTTTCGTTAAATTATTATGTAATTTTCTACATAAATCAAAGACAAACTCTTTATAATGAGATGAAAAAAAAATTCAATACATGAAGAAAGTTGACAGCCTTATTACGTTTTAAAATTTTAAAACTAGAAAAAAAAATTGAATTAAAAACAAAATTTCTCTTTTTTTATAAAAATTTATTTAAACACAATTAACTTGGCGTGGCTCTTACAGCTGTAGATAAAACTATAATTGATTAGATGGTTCATATAATCGATAGCCACGCCAAGTGAATTGTGTTTAAATAAATCTTTGCTCTGACGATGAACGGTGCTAGAAATCCAAGTGGATCATAGAGTTGAGCTGTTTTTGATAAAATAATTCTCTTCGTGCCAGAGAAAATAGACCTGCATAGAAGTTCAATGCTGTATTATGTTTAGGAATTACCACTAAAGAAAACGAACCTTCAGATGTTTTCCAGTAATAAATTGACAATGGGTAAGAATAGAATGTTTTTATATAATTTAGCCATATGTGCACTCGTAACAATGATCAATAGATTATTCCTATGATAGCATTTGAAATTCAAAAATTTATACAACATAATTCCGCTATTATAAAGTATGTTAATGAATGGTATTATTTTTATTATTTTATATAATATATAAAAATATAATACCATCCGACATGTATATATATATATATATGATAATTATTATTACATTAGTAAACAAACTTCTATTCTAGATTTTAAAAAAGCAGTAACATTAGTCATATTGTAGATGTTTTTGCAGTTCTTTAATTGTTATTAATATAACTTTAATATTTTATTCTCGTAACCGTGCTAAACGCTGTGTTAATTCATCTTGTTCTTGACTTGCAGTTGTTGATGAACCGATCCCAATGCTGCCTAATTGTCCTGATGGCAATTCCATGTTTAATTCTAATCTAAAATATGAATAAAAAATTGTTTATATTTTGATGATATGTTTGATAGTTTGCGTCAAGTTTTAATTACCCAGCTTCATCAGCGACTTGTTGAAGTAGTGAATCAACATCGTTTTGAGGTACGTTAGTCGTCGTGGTTTGCGACATTGCATTTTCCATGTATGAACTTTGAACATCTAAGTCCTCGAACTGACTTTCAAATTTATCCATTAAACCCGAAATTTTTTCTAAATTCATAGATTTCATGGCTGCATCCATAGCTTTTACTACACCTGCCATCGATTGAGTCACTTTTCTGGTTGTTAAAGCTGTTTGAACTCGACTAGCAACAGCATCTACTCTAGCACTCATCCTTAAATAATTCAGAGCTTGATTCTTTTGTCTTATAGCATTCTCAGCATGTATTCGCGCTCCTTCCATATTTCCTTTTTGTATCGCTTTTTTAATTTTTGTTTTTTCTATTTTCTCTTCTTTTTCGCATTTCTTCGAATTACGTTCTAATTCTTTTACCGCAAATTTTAAATTAAATAAATTTTCTATATACATTTTAAGGAATACATATAATTCCAACCTCTAAGAGAAAATGAGTGATTCATCAATTTTTTGTTTTTATTTGTTTTCAGTTCTAATAATTTAACTATTATTTGATTCGTGATCTTTTTGAATTTCAAAGTACTTAAAATAGCAAAATTATTCAATGGCGACAAGCAAAAAACATCAGTAATCTGACATTTAAACTAAGAGAAATGTGAACAATTAATAAAATATGTATAATAATACGCATAATTTTGTGAAACATTGATATTGTTAATAACTCACTAATGTCTTAATTTCCAATTGTACTATCGATGAGTAATGTTTATCGAATGATTTAATAAGATTTGTTTGTCAAAGGATACTTTCCATTTGCGAGACTGACATGAGTGATTGCTCGGCCCCCGTTTTGAATACCAAATAAATTAATTTAAAAATAAAATACTGAAGTACAAAATTAAATAATTAGCAAAAAACAAATTCTTAAAGATTTTATTGTAAACTCTAACACTCACAATATAGTCGAACCAAAAAAAGAGTATGTAGACTGGACATACATGCAATAGATACTATATATTATCATATATGTAGTCGAAATATTGGAGAGTATAGACTTGGAGGTTATACATGGAAATTATTTTGGTGCATGCGCACAAATTATTTCTGAGCTTGTTCACAACTTACTGCGTTTGGGTGTACTTCATTTCTAACCTTTATGGTTAGAATTATTTTCAAGTCGTTTAAAGCAATGCAAAAAGATGACTGTATTATTTTTAATTACTACTAGTGCGTACTGTTTTTTGAACTTTGTTCCAATTATTATCAAGCATGTAAGTATAAATTAACGAAACTAAGAAAAAATTTCTAACTCAATCACATTAACAATATACTTTGTTTGAGTTGATTTTAGTTCATAAGCTGGATTTTTGCAGAAAATAAAGCTGAATATAAATTAAAAAATGAAATTCTTGTATTAAAAAATGAAATGAGCAAAATATCTCATGTTGATGAATTTTCTAAGTATTCAAAATTACAAAGAAAACACACGACGTTAATTGAAATTTACCGAAAAGAAGGTGTGTAAAAAATAGAGTTTTTACTCATATAATGACTGAATTGTTAATATTTTCGTATTGTGTTTAATTGTCTTAGTTTCAGCAAGACTATCTTATAGAATGAAAGTGCAACTTGTCTTCACTTACCTTATTAAAATTCTAAACGTAACTATTGTTTGTATAAATTTTACAATTATAAGTTAAAAGAATCATTCTTCTATTCACTATAATTTCCAGTGGGTCATATTGATAATGCTAATGAAGATTTATCAAAAAGAGCCGATTGTTATTTTACCGAAAGGATCACTACATCCATTTGAAAATTTTTTGAGCTGGCCAAGAATGGACAATACTTCGATATCTTTAACAATGTGGTTAGCAATAAATTGTATAGTATTTACTAAATAAGATTTTTTATGTGTGCTCATTGCAAGTAATCATTCAAGGTAAAAGTAATTTTACAACTAATAATTTTATACATTTGTGATTACAGATATTAAATACTAATTTTTAATATGAATCTAGCTCGTTTTTTTAATGAAGATTTATTATCAAGTTTGTTAATAAAACTTTTAGTAAATTACCAAATCCATGCATGTTTGTAAAAATAAGAAATAAAATAAATTTTACTCTTTGAACTCAGGATTACTAGGCTTGAATTTATTGCAAATATTACTCGAAATTATATTTACTTGGGATCATTCATTCTGACGTAAATCTAATTCAGATTATAATAACAAAAATAAAACTTATCATTTCATATTTTTTGATATAAATTTAAAATAATAAAATGATTTATTATCATAGGCGTTTGTGTAACAAAAATTTAAATTCATTATTTTTGAAATCTTAATAATTATTTATGCATATTTTATCAACAAAACGATATAAGTATATTGTATTCTTTGTAATTTGAAGTTTTTATAATCATTACAGCTTACATACTTAAAGAAAAGGATATTCAAAATTTTTACTGAAATATTTGAATTATGTTTTAGAAATATCCATTGGTGAGCTATTAGACGTATTTATTGTAGGTGCAGTTATCGGTGGTCCACTAGGACTAACAATAGTTGGCGGAATAGCGGGTTTGATAAATCTATCTGAAGTTCGCCTTGATGAAGGAGGAACTATATGACCACTTGTTGATGGTGGTGAACTAGAAAATGGAAGCATTATAGTTTGACCACAAGCAAAGCAACGATTAGATGTATAGCTGTCACGGGATGTCGAACCAACAATATTCACTCCAGGACTAAGTGGTCTAGATGAATTTGGAGAAGGATTATATGGTATTGGACTTGATACTGTGCGGTTTCGTATATTGCTTCCTGACATAACTATTTCATTGTAATGACGTTCTTCTTCCATTTCCAAACTAGACTCAGATTCAGATAAATGTCTACAAAGAGCTTCACGTCTTTCCACTTCAAGCTGTAATTTTCGTTGAAGCCTCAAATTTTCTTCTCTTATGTGTTTTTCTTCATTTACATATCGTTGCATTTTTTCTGTATGTTCTTGTTGTGATATTAAAAGTGTATGTCGTAATCTCGCGACTTCACTTCTTAAAGTTTGAATATGAGTACTAAGATTAGTTGCAGTATCACCATTATTAATATCTCGCGGTGATGTTGGATCAGATACAGGCTGATCTAGTTTTATTTGAAGCATTCGCTTTTCTGCTTCTAATTTATCCATACGCTTCCACAATTTATTAACAAGAGCTTCCTGCTCTTGTTCTAAAGTATTTTCCAATTCTACTTTTTCTCTTCGAAGTTGTTCCAAATTACTTTGTTTGGCTAAAGTTTCAGCCTCCAATTTCTCAATTTTTCGCATCAACTTATTAACTAAACATTCTTGTTCCTGTTCTAAAGTTTGTTCCAATTTGCATTTTTCTTGCCTCAGTTGATTTAATTTTCTAGACAAGTCATTGGTTAAACATTCTTCTTCTTGTTCATAGTGATGAGCTAATGTCTCTTTTTCTTTCTTTAGAGCTTGAATTTTCTTTAAAAGAGTGTTACTGATAAATTCTTCTTCTTGTTCAGCTTTCGCTTGCTAAAATGAAACAAAAATTTGCATAATAAAGTCGATTTTTTACTTTGTTTTTGATATTATAAAAAAAATAGCATTTACATAGTAAAAATAGAAAAAATGTTAATACTTTTTAACAGTATATAATATCATCAAAATTGCAAACATTTAATAAATACATAGAAATGAAAAAGTCAATAGAATAATATTTTCAAATATTTTTAAATGAATACAAAGAAATAACTTACAATAATAACTGAAGCTTGACGTAAACTACGATTTTCTTCCTGAAGTGCTTTTACGCGTAATTTGTATGTCTCGAGCTCAACTTTTAAAACGCGATTATGTTGTTGTAATGATTCAATCCTTTTTTGAAGTTGTTCTCGAGTAATTGGTGATGGTGGCATCATAATTGGACCACCATCAATTGAACTTGAATCACTTTCAGAAGCGCTATCACGGTCAGCCATTTTAACTTTCTACTTGAAAAACTCTAGGAATTCAAATATTTTACAATTGCTCTATAATAAAATACATCATTTCCACATTCACGAGTTCTATAACGATGAATAAAGGACTTATTTACACATCTGTAGAAAAGATTTAGGCTGAAAATTACAACCACTATGGTATAAGACTGAGCATGTGGTGACATATGTACGGTCGTACTCTATTGGCGAACTATGCAGGGTTGCCAAATAGTAAAAGTAAAAGTAGAGTGCTGTTCACATAAAAACGACGGCAATGTTACAGCACTACCCAGTGTAACGTCCAGGTTTAGCAAATGACAGTAGTGTCACCTTCTGGACTCGGTGTGAGTTCATTGGTCGAAGCCATGAAGACTATAGAACAGGAGTCCAAACTCTGTGTATAAAAGTTGAGCCGGAATTTTGAAAAAATAACGTTCGCGGGCAGAGTGCGCTGTGGTCGCTAAGTTACCGAGGTAGAGGGGGAAATTCCCGGTATATTTAAATACATGATTAAAAATATAAAAAAAATTGAATTTACTTTTTGTATAGAAAAAATTGATAGTAAACACAAAATTAAACATTATTATAGCAAGAGTATTAATTATATTATTAATAATCCTATTTTTGGAGGAATTGAACAATGTTTGAATGAAATTAAAAATAATTAAAGTATACTTAAATTTTATATTAATGTTAAATTATTAGGTATTTTAATAACTTATATTATCTAGCTTATAAGTACTACTTTCCATGACTGTTATATTATTTTTAGGAATAACATAACATTGAAAATATCAAAATATAATTTTTATCCAATGTATTTTATATAAATTATAGAGAAAATACATTTCTTATAACATGTATACAATAATTTTTTTTTTACAATATTAAATAATATGTTATTAATTTAGAGATTTTAATAGTCAATTTCCCATATTTTTTAAAGTATACATAATAACAAATTGTAAAAATTTAATTACCTATCTTTTATATGAACTGTGAACATTCAGTAAAATCGTGCATAAATTGTATTAATTTTCTATGATAATTATGTAATATTTAAATAATTTGTTTAAATTTATCATACATAGTTAGTTATCGGAGAAAAGTCTTTTCTCTGTCTAAATTGAAATTGAGAGAACTAAAACGATGCAAATCCTACATAAACAGATGGTATTGGCAATTTATTATCATCAATATATTTTGATGACGATTAACGGATCGAAAGTAAAGTTTTCAGTCTTATTTGCGGGAATATTTCTATGGAATCTTTTCTTCAAAACTCTATCCATACAGTTATATGTTGAAGTGGCATCAAGTAAAAATTTCTAAGATCTCTTCGCAAGCAGAAACTGAAGATGGTTTAACTAGATTAGTTTTTGTTCGAATTGGACCACATTTACTTCATCATTTGCTATCCATCTCATCTACCGAATCCACAGCAAAAGTGTGATTCAAACTAATTTCATCGGATTTGATTATTTGTACGTAGATTTCTATTTCTGTCTTAAATAAGTCGACATAATGAATTCAACTCAAAAAAGTTAATTTTTTTTTTAATAATTTGAGATGTTGATTCACTACAAACAATTTTATTTTATTTCTAGAAGCAACGTTGATGTGCAATGAAAAACTATCATCGCATTCAGTCCGCAACAAAACCATTGTCAGACCACGTTTACTTATTTCAGACATATGATTTGTAGACAATTAATAATCCAATAATGTCACATTCTTTTGCATCAATATTTTAACAATATTTTTTTATAAAACTTTTTAAAGACAGCGAACTATCATACCATCTGTGAGCGTAGGATTCATCAGAGAGAAATTCACCTCTCTGGGGTGTTAACAATATTTGAAATTTCTAGCAGGAAAAATGATAGACATTGAAAGTATTAAAAATCCAAACTTACAAACTTAATATTTTATTGATTTTTCTTTAAAAAAAGTTTTTTTGAAAAAACCAATCATTGAAAATATTTTTTTATAATATTTCTGACGAAATCGACAAATGAATTAATTTTTGGTATATTTTGAAAAAAATTAGATTACAATAAATCATTGAAAACTGCATTTTTATTTTCGTTATAATTTATACCATAAAAACATTACAAGAGTATAAAAATCTGACATATGTACTGATGTCATTTCAAATACAAATCTCTTAATGTCTTTTCAAATTGGAAACACAAAAACATCGTATAAATTATTTTTCTGAATCACTAGGATGAATATTAGCATTATTATTTATTGGATATTTGACTGCTTCAAGATTGCCAGAATCACAAGCTGAAAGAAATGGAGTTCGACCTGCTGCATCTATAGCATCAATTTTTGCATTATTTTGACGCAACAATTCTATTTTTTTAGTTACCTCACGAAGCCGAATATAATTACTGTCCAGTGTTAATAATATTTAGCATTCTTTCGATAAATTTTGCACTGCTTCGCGCGATCTTCAAATTTGCGATTTGCATATTTTGCAAGAAAGAAACCTCGCATTACTAAATACTTGTCGATCACCCTTGAAGTTACTTCATGTTCATGAGATTCACAGCCAACATGTGGTAAATTTTGTTTTCCTGCTTCTTTGAGTATGTCGTGAAGAGTGTCTATTTGAACTTCCGATGTTCCAACTATCTTAAGAACAGATTTTTCTAATGTTCTTGTTAGTTCAAATAATTGTTTAGATGATAAGAAAGGCCATCATAAAAATCTCTGAGCCGAATCAATTCATTACATTCATCGTTCCGTTCATCTTCCGTTGCTTGTAAAGTAATTTACAATCTTCGTACCTTAATAAAATTTGCATTTTTTTAGTAATGTAACCAGCAATGAATGCTTGAACTTCATCGCTTGTATTAAAAATACAGTAATCATGCTCCGTAATATCATCTTCAACACAATCTCGCTCTTCGTTTTCAAAATTATCTTCTAATAATTCATCAATTTTATTTAACCACTCTTTCCTAGGTCTTTGTGTTAGGTACAACGAATCTTGAGTTTGCATTAATGTTGACAAAAGCTGAGGGCCAGAAACGTTACAGTCTTTTGGTGGACGAACTAAGGAGAAACACGATACGAGTCTGAATACTTGACCAAATAATTTTGGATCGGGGTGATCATTGGATCCACAAGAATTCCGCATGATAGAAAAAAATCTCTGTAATGAATCAAATAAAGATATGTTATAATATTCTTTGTATAATAATATGCAACACGTTATTATAATTATAAATTTTATATTTATAATCATGATATTTTAATTTTACAATTACGAACATCATACAAATAATAATATTATCCAAACTTATATTTACCTCCAAGGGATCTTGACTGAGACGAGATGTCATGAGATAATCGTACTCAAAATTATCACGTTCAAAATGAAACGAAATTATTATGTTCATCTGCATTTTAATGAAGTTAATAAATTAGGAATTTAATACATTATATTAAAATGAAATATGTAACAAATATGAAGTAATTTTAATATTACGTCAAATGTTACGACTACAGGTTGCCGACACAACAATTTAAAAAATAAATACATCATACCTTCTTAATAAGTCGATGACATCGTTGTCGGTAAATTTCCTTTTTTCGTTTAATACGAAAAGCAAGTGTCGAATCGCGTTTATATCTCATGTTTGCTTGTATTCTTTGGCGAAGTATGCGGCACGCTCGACAGCGAGGATTTAATTGCTGACGCTGATAATTTTCATTTGGTGTGATGATTCCACTACACTGGGTGGCATATCTGGAAAAACGATGAGAAATCCACCACACTTATCAATTATTTGTAATTGTGAATGTAGATGAAATCTATTATGATACATTTTTTCAGTTGTAATTAATATCAAAAAAATTGTGACAGAATAAAACAAACGTATTTAAAAATATTTTGACCTATTTTCATCAAATAATGTTCCGCAACAAATTGTGAGGGATTCTGCTTTACGCATAGATGCGTACAATTCTTCCATAGATGATACACGATCAGTGAGAATTATTTCTGATCGATGTGGCATTACAAGCTAGAATAATGACATACAATATTTAAAGTCAATTTGTTTCAATTATGTTCTATATAAATTTGATTGTAATTTAATTTATTATTGTAATTAATTAAAATTATCTAATTTTAGTCTATTTACTTATTTCTTAGTTTATATGATTTATTTTTCTTTGCTATTTATTTAAATTATTTATTGTAATTTTATTTTATTGAAACATACAAATTGCGTTTATATTCTTACCGTAACAGAAAGATCAGCTGTTACTCGTAATCTTAATTTTTCCAACAAGCTACCTACATCGAGATGAATCAAAATCATATCCGATGATTGTACATAGTAACACTAACGTTCTGGTAAAACTGCCGAAAACGATGATACTACTTGCTCTAGTGACAATTCATTTGGTAAAGCTAATGAAACTGCAGATAAAGATGATGCAGTTGCTCTAGCAACACTTCATTTGGTATAATCTGCAAAAATAAACAATTATTTTTATTTCAAAATAGTTTCAGTTTAATAATTTTCAATGTTATCTTAAACTTTTTACCTCATCGCATTCCATTTGGGAAACTGATGGCTCAACAGACTGCTCCAATAGTAGTCCTGTTGGCTGTAAATTTTCAGTGTCAACTAGAAGAATTTGCTCTTCTTGAATAATTGTTGATCAAAAATTTGTTGTTCTGATAGCGAACACGATTGTCTTCTTCAGTAGACTTTAAGAATAAAAATATTTATTGATTAATTTTTTTTTCTTCTTATATATAAAAAATTACGTTAAGGGATTGGTTAAATACCTGATTGCAATTCATCGATTGCTGATTTTGACATTTTTCTTCTCTAAGAGGAATCGCGTTATCAGTTAATGCCACCTTTCATTTCTATGAAATAGACTCCCCATTGATCAGAACTGATTTGCCCTTTACGATATATTCATCCAAAAAATGAAGTTCACAGACACGATCACTGTCTTTAAGTTCTTGTTGAAGAGCATTTACCCACAGTTGACGTCGAATATGACACTGTAAATTAATTTTAAGTAGCATGTAAATAAATTTCATCTAAAAAACTCACTCCAAATGCAATGAGTGATACTCACTTTTGGAACTTGAAAGAGTGTTCTTTTCCGTAAACCTTTAGCTTTGCGTTTCCGCTCATCATCTGAATGACCGCTTTTGCATCCTGCACAACACAACATTTTGTCATTTTTACACAATTTAAAAAATTTACATTTATCACAACATTTTCCACTTAGCAAAAGGTTAGCTAAATTCAATGACGTCTTCTTACTAACTTCGCGCGTCTTACATGCTGCTAAATTCACTCGGTACACGACGTAATTCAGCACCACTGGTGGCTGGTTTTAGAACCTTTGCTCTAAAAAATTTCCTGTACG